AATCCTCAAGCGAGGAAGAATCCGCAGAGTGTGTCGCCTTAACCAGAAGATCTGGCAGCATCCCAGGGATGCGTGTTATGAGTTTCAAAGACATAGAAGCCCTCAACCTAGCGAAGAGTCTAGTATTCGTGCAGCAGCTGGGGTTGATGGAGGAGCTATAGTCTGAGAAGGGGGCACATAGATCGAATAGTTCGCAGTGCAGGTATTCCAATAATAATAATAATAACGATCGAGTTGACATCGTTTTTTTACGATTCATATTATTAATTGAGAGATTGACAGAGATAGAAGAGAGAGAGAGAGAGAGAGAGAGAGAGAGAGAGAGAGAGAGAGAGAGAGAGAGAGAAAGAGAGTCTGCACAAATGGCAATAATTGTAAATTTGTTGGTTATTTCAATCAAAAATGATCACAACTGAAAACAAGAAAGATCGGCATGTCGTAGGCAACTTATCCCTGCAGACTATAATTAAACTGTCAACTATAAATTTAGACAGCCTGCATTAAAAATGTGGATATATTTCATGTTTTAAAATAGCTTGAAAGCTACGATTAATTAGCTTAGGAACAGACAGACAGTCGGTCATGGCTTTGGCGACTCGACTTGTGATTGTGATCCAGAATATATATACTTTATTGATGAAGTCTCCTTCGACGCATTTCAAACTGCACCACAAAATTAAAATACGTTAATAATTAATTCTAATCATTAAAATTAATTATGAATTATCTCTAATCATTAAAATGTCATGGTTTGATTGAGTTTATTTCTGGGTTTCGTTAATGTAATCAATTTTTTGGCCATTTGATATTTTTTACATTTTCAATTTTAACTTGACTAATTATTCTCATTTTAAATTAATTATTTTGTGTCTAATTCAATTTTTTTTAATCTCATAAATTAATTTTTTAAATTTAAGTCTGCATAAATTCATAAATAAATATTTTTTCGAATTATTTTTCTTGTAAATAGCTCACATGCCCAAAAAAAAACATTTGTTTTTTGCGTTTTCCCCAAAAACATGTCAGTTTCCGTTGAGCCTCTGTTTTTGTGTGAAATGTTTGAGACGGATATGCTTGAATTTAACTTACTCTTTGTGTCTGTTGCAAGAAGTTGGTGCTTGCTTTAATTGTTGCTGCGAGGTATGCAAAAGTTTTATATTTGTATTTGTGGCAACATAAACAGTAACACAAACAACTTGCAGTTGTTGTGGCTGCTGCACTTTTGCCAGCTGCGCATTAATCTCAGCTGCAGACTTAAGTCGCACTAAGTTGGCCAAGTTTCTCTTGACGTTGGCCATTAAAAAAAGTTGACGCCAGCTGCTGATTGAATATTAAAATGCTGCCACGCAGCCAGCAAACCAACCAACCATCCAACCAAGCAGCATCAGCAGCAATTAAAGCTCTGCCGCATCAATCAGTGGCCAGGAGGCAGTGAGGCGGTGGGGGTGGAGTGTGAGTGGGAGTGGGAGAGGGAGAGGGAGAGTGAGGGAGTTGTACAGAGTGGTTGATGCCACGCCTTAATTAGCATAATCTAATTTCAACTTGGTCCGAAATTGTAGCCGTCTTTCTTTGCGCTGCCAAAAAATGCAAATCAACTAACGGAACGCAGCCAATTTACTTTTTTACCCACCCCCGGCTACGTTGCCGGCGACGCCTGACGACAGTTGTTAAAAACTTTTATATTTTTACAACGAAATGAAAAAACAATAAAAAATATTATTTAAAAAAAAATAAATAAAAAAATAAGAAGTAAAATCAAAACCAACAGCGACAACAACAAGTTGGCAAGTTGGCAAGCAGCAGCCGCGACAGCAGCGTTAAAAACTTTTTTGAAATGCGAAAATGAAAGAGCAACAAGACGACTGCTGGCTGGCTGGCTGGCAGGGGGAGAGACCGAGGTTGCAAGGGGGTGACGGGGGGCGCCGCTTAGAATTGACAGCGACAGGATACAGGCAGCCACCGTGTGGTTGCCACACTCACCGACAACAACAACTTTGACGGCGTCAAGTGCCTCAACTGCGAACACAACAATTGAGTTGGTTTCTGGCGTGGCACGGGCAAGCATGCGGCATGCGGCATGCGGCATGGGGCACGGCGGCTGCTGGGAGAGAGTCTGAGGAGTGGGAGCCTTGTGGCAACTGTTGAAACATTTAATTTGCTGGAATTTGGCGCGTCATGTAAGCTTATTAACAGACTAGCTGCCTGTGTTTCTCTATGTGTGTGTCTGTGTTTGTGTGTGTGTGTTTATGCGGCATGTTTTTCTATGCAAATTTTGTGAGTGTGTTACGCACACACACACACGTACACACAAACAAGGAAAAACACGTGGCTGGAATGGCAGCAGTAATCCCAGCCCAAATCTGCAAGCGCTCCTCCCTTGGGGACTACAGGATTGGGGGGTGGAAGGTAAAAGATATAGCCATATGTGCATATATTCGTATCAGATTGTGGCATTTGAATGTGGTCGACGATATTTGAAAACAAGCAACAATGGCTGTCTCAAGCACGCCGAATATTACATACCCAATATCTAAATTTCATTAGAGATTACTCAGAATAAACCGACCGATTATATCCGTGGAATATGGACATATATACGACCAAGATACTCTTCACTTCTCTTGTACGTCCAATTGTGGAATACGGATCCACAATATCTGATTCACATTGGAATCGATTCAGCAACAAAAAAACTAGATGTATTACCTCTATACAGGCTCCTCCGACAGACTCCTCCGACAGACTCCTCCTTGGTGTTGCGTTTGTAGTTAAATTACAAAATAATGAAGTCAGAGAAATCGATTGAAGAGCCAAATTAATTTTTCTTTTCCCCCTAAACATACCCGTTATTTCTTTCCACATTCTCTTAATGGATGCTCTACTAAATATTCCTTGTATTAATCGTTTCAAGCTAGTTAAGAACCCAATTTTAACTAATAAAAACTATAAATCTGATTGAGTTTTTTCTGAGTGTTCCCCAAGACATGCAACAATTTAAATACCCCCGGAAATCTAATCAGTATTTCTTTTTTATTTTAATTTAAATATTATTTTTCATTTAATTTGATGTATTTTTTATTTTTTATTTTTTTATATTAGTTGTCATTAAATAAATAAATAAATAAAAGTGCAGATGGATGGCTCTGCTCTTTGAGTTTCTGGGAAACTAAACCTGCATTCTTAAAAAATACAATTTTAATGTAGAAAAGTTGTATTTATCTAGAAGTCCTTTTGGGTTTCTTCTACTGATGCAACTCTTCAATGTGAGCATCCCTCATTCCTTGATTGCCATGGATTATAATAATCAAAATGAACAATTTTCAAACCTTTGTATAAAATAAAAATAACCTTTAAAAAAAAACAATAACACTAGACTTAGATAGCCAGAATATATATATACATATATGCACTATATCCAATAGCTGTTGGAGCTATTTGAACAGCATTCGTTGAGTACACAGTCAGTCTGACTGTGAGGCAAATGGGAAATCACATTTAATTGCCATTAAATGGAAAATGAAGACGAGCTGAAGAGCAAGTAAAAGGTAGACAACAACAGGACCTGTGCATGGGGGAGGGGGCGGCGGAGCTGGGGGGATGTGGGCGTGGATACATTGAAAATGAAGACGTTCACAAGGACAATGCAAATATGTACATAAATCTCAACGGGCTTCTTATTCAAGTCAACAGCAGAAGCGACGCTAAGACTCAAAACTGAAAATGACAATAAGATTCATTTTATCTAGAGATGGGCGTGATTTTCAAATACTATATGCAAAGCTTATATATATATATATACATATGTATATGTATATGAATAGTAAATATTCTTTAGTTGCCATAGGAAATATATGTAATGAGAAAAGTTAGAAGAAGTATTAGTCGAGTATTTTAATAAAATAAAATCTTAACACAAAATGACAATGTTCAGATTGTTCAAATTGTGTTATATAAAGCCAATAAAACGTTTTGGATTTCACACAATGGATTACATTTTTTATTTTTTTTTTTTAATTAAGTAAATATTTATTAAGATTTATAAATTGAATTATTGCATTCAAACAAAACTAAAAAAAAAACTCAAACTTATTCAATTATAATATTAAATCTGATTCGGGTTTAGCAAAGGCCAAATATATATATTTATATATAGATATGGATATAGATAGATAGCATAGAAGTTAAATGGTATTTGTTTTTATGCAAACCTTGCAACACATTTTAGAACTCACCACAACTAAAAACCCCTTTTCGCATTTATTTTTTCTTAATTGTTAAACATTTCTTAAATTTTATTTCTAATTAAATTGATTGATTTTGTAATAATTCTGTGTCGACTGGTCATAAATAAATAACGATTTTCTTTACTTCTCACTTTTGTCGTGTTACTTTTATACCCATTGGAAATGGTTAAAAGGGTATAATGGACGTGTGTAAGGGAAAAGGAAACATCTCCGACCCCATAAATATACATATATGTGCATATTCTTGATCAGCATTCTCAATCAAGTCGATTTGGTCATATCCGTCTCAGATTCGTACACCACACCCAGACCAACTTTATATAATTGTATCGACAAACATCGATAAGAATCGATTATGAACTGTATTCAGCGAATATCTAAATGGTGTACGACTTTGGTGCAGGGCATCTACTAGTCGAGTCGTCTCAATTATAGCATTCTCACTTGTTTGTTATGAATTATGTATAAATTATTAATATTGCTGTATATCTGGAAAATGATATCCTTCAATTAGAAGCATCTTGAATTTAAAGTAACGACATCATTTTTAGCTAATGAAAATGTTTCCGTTTCTGGTTGCAGCGGCACTCTGGCAGAATGAAGGACAGCAACGGCAACGGCAATGGTAACAGCAACAGCAACAGCAACGGCAGCAGCAACCACAACAGCAACCACAACAGCAGCAACAACAGCAGCACAACGGCAACAAGCGCTGTTGGCGTCACTGCAGTTGCTGCCACGCCCACCGCGACAGCCGCTGTAGCAGCAACAACAGCAGCAGCAACACAACAGCAACAGCATCAAACAACTGGCGCACAGCAGCAGCAGCAGCAGCAACAGCAACAATTGACGCCGCGCAAGAGCAACATTCACGAGCTGCGCAATCAGGACTATGTTAGCCGCCTTATGGCTGCCACGCCCCCATATCTATACTCAGCGCCCGTTGGCCCCAACAATTATTTCTTTAGCGACATGCTGCGCTCCTTGGTGCAGACGCGCAACAACGAAACCGCACGGGTATTGCAGCTGCAACAGCAACAACAGCAACAGCAGCAACAGCAGCAGCAACAGCAACAACAGCAGCAACAACAACAGCAGGCGGCATTAGTGCGACGTTCTCGTAAACGCTCCTGGTCACACCGGCCGTACTACGAGCAACTGCGCGAACGACGCGACGCCGAGGAGAAGCAGCAGCAACAGCAGCAGCAGCAACAGCAGCAGCAACAGCAGCAGCAACAGCAACAGCAGCAACAGCAGCAGCAACAGCAGCAGCAGCAACAGCCACACTCAAACAGCGCGGCAACAACTGAAAAACCGCTGGAGTTAACCAATAAGTCAGCTGCCACGCCCACACCGACACCCACAACAACGCCCACGCCCACATCCACATCGTATGGCTACAGCAAGCTGGAGACGAAATCCTTGACAAAGGCCACACTGGGCGGGGCTGTGGACAACAGCTTGCTGGAGAATACGCCGCCGGCAGCATCTTTGCCGCCGCAGGATTTGGTGTTGCCACCGCCGCCGCCAGTTTGGTATCCACCATTGTATGCCCCGTATGGCATCGATCCGCTGCACTTCTTCATCGATCTGCGCGTCTCCGGGCACATTTACGATCGCAAAAAGGAGAATGTCTCGCCGCTGTCCAACAGCAACATGTTGCCGACAGAGGATACAGCTGGCGCAGCGGCGGCAGCAACTGGTGCTGCGGCTGGAGTGGCTGGCGTAGCTGGTGGAGGCGGTGGAGCAGTTGCTGGCGGCATTGGTTTGGCCAGCAGCAACAATTTGTTGAGCAAACAGCGTCATGGATCCGCCTTCACCGTGCCCATACCCAAGTCAGCGCAGCAGGATGCCATCAATTTGAGTGCCGCAAGCAGCTCGGCCGGCATCGGTGTTGGTGCACTGAACAAATTCGAGCACTATGCCAAATACTATGATCTCGGCGAGAGCAAGGAGAACCAACCGGCAGCAACAGCTGCGGCTGCCGCTGCTGCTGCTGCTGCAGCAGCGAATCTATCGAAATCCGGTGCCAGCTATATGCTGCAGCATCTGCCACGCCTCTACAGTCAGTTTGCCGCACAGCAGCAGCAGCAACAGCAGCAGCAGCAGCAACAGCAGTTGCAGCATCGAGAGACGGACACCAAGTCAGAGTCGGCAGACCTGTGCGATGAGGATTCGCTGGGACGGGGCTCCAGTGACATTGGGGGCGCTTTGTTGGAGACGGAGAGCAGCAGCCTGCAGCACGATCGGGATATCGATGTTGAGATCATTGATTCCATCAAGTATCGCACAGATGGCGAGAGCAGTCGCTGCTCCAGCAACGATGAGGCATCCGTTACCCAAATCGACTAAGTTCACCAACATTTACAGCCCAATAAAAATCGAATTCAAATATCGAATACAAAATGTTTTTACTTTGAATCCCTTTTTGATTATTGTTTGTCGGTTCAACGGCCTCTGAATATTGTTCAGCTTACAATGCAATGATTGCAATGATTTTCTCAGCTAAGAATATAGATAGATTACACCCACCTAGGGATAGATTACACCCACCTAGGGATAGATTACCGAACTGTGACCTGGCTTCCTCTTCCTCATCTCTGGTGTTATTGTCATTAGTGACACCCTAATAAGTAGATGTCAAATCGATAACATCGACAAGTTCGCAATTTAAATGCTAATGTCATCAATAAATCTTTCACAGTTTATGAGCTAGACTCAACGTCTACGGCTATATGAGCACTCGGATCTCAGAGGCTTGGGGACCCCAAGTTTCGAATGTAAGTTCTCGTATACACCGTGGAGCACAAGTTTATTTAATTTGATCCATAACTGCCTCCGCTTCGAAAAAATCGATCGTTTTGCGATAACAATTTTAAAGGCATAGGCGTCTTCTAAATGTATATATTTTACATATGTATATTATCGACCATAGGAAGACACACAATACGAGTGCAGCTTAGCAATGAAGAAAGCCGGAGGCGGAGGCGGCAACGGAGCTGGACAGAGACACCAGGATTCCGACAAACCAGATGTCTTTTGGGTGGCTATAATCATAAGCGATTTAAGCAAGTAATATCCATGGGGAAGAACAGACTTAGGATACTCACCGGTCTACGGACAGAACATTGTAGACTAAGAAGTCACCTAACTAAACTAAGTATTTATACTAACGAACTACATATGCAGGTTTTGTGAAAACGACGAAGAATCCTCAAGCGGGGAAGAATCCGCAGAGTGTGTCGCCTTAACCGGAAGATCAGGCAACATCCTAGGGATGCGTGTTATGAGTTTCAAAGACATAGAAGCCCTCAACCTAGCAAGGAGTCTAGTATTCGTGCAGCAGCTGGGGTTGATGGAGGAGCTATAGTCTCAGAAGGTGGCACAATAGATCGACAGGTATCCCAACAATAATAAAATTAATAATAATAATAATATTAGATCGAATGAGAAACAGCCAAGTTGTCAGCAGGCAGAAGCATATTATTATTTTTTGATAAATATACAAGACTTGAGTACAATTTTCACTTAGAGCTGCAGCTTCAACTGTCTTTTGTTGTATCTGCGACTGGGTCTGTATTCGTGTAGCGTTAATTGACATCGCATCAGTCGGCGGCTCCATCAAGCGCAATGCTTGAACACCAACGGCATATTCTCTCTTACCCACTTAGACGCCATCCCCCTCCCCGCTTAACCAGCACACAAGCAAGCTAAAAGTATGCAACGGCAAAAGCAATTTCATAAATCATTTGACGCCGTCGTCGTCACTTTGGTTGTTGTTGTTGTTGATGTTGTTGTTGTTGTTGTTGTTTTTGCTGTCCTCGCCTGCCTTAAGGCATTTTTTAAATGTCGTCCTTGTCGTCGCGAATTGTCGTGCATCCCTATCCACATCCCCCAGCCTCCCCTTAATCTCCATACCTTGGTCGCTTATTCCCCTCCTACCCCTCTCCTGGCACAATCCCCTTGTCGCATTACACGCCTGACTACGCTTTGTGTAAATTAAAACTGCTGCCGGCTGCTGACACGAAAACCAACACCCCCATCCCCACCCCCACCCCAACCCCTACACCCGCACCCACCCAGCGTCAGACCCCAACCCTTAGTTGTGGAATCGTGTGTTTTAACCATAAGAATTGCCAGCAACTTTTTCAATTCATTCATTTTTTTTTTTTGCAACATTTTTTTTTTTTTATTTTCGCAGAGGATATTAATTTTTTCACCATTCATTGATTTTGTTAGCGCATAATGAACATGCACGAAATGTGTGGTATGGGTGCGGGGGCGTTTTTGGCCAAACTGGGCGTGGCATTGTGGCAATAAACAGTGAACAACTTTGGCGACAATTCGCTGGCTCGTTTCCGTTTCCGCTGTTACTTATACCCTGTACAAAAATGACAGAGCCAATGCAAATAGGGTATGCATGAAGAAATCCCCTTCCCCGGCACACTTAAATGATTCATTATTATATTTATGTAGAGGATATACGAATTGAACGTTTGAAAGAAATATACAACAAAATTATTGTATTTTCAATGACATACGATTTTCAACATTTTCGTATATCGATTTCTGAAGAAGAATTCAAATCGTATGTGCAAAATCGAACTATAATTCTTAAATAAATATTATAGAGCATGCAAAAAAAAATTTTCAACCTTTTGAAACAAGAATCTTAAGTAAACTAAAATTGGCAATATTTTATTGCTTTAATGCTTTAAAACAAACAAAAAATAATAATTCAAATGAGTATTTTGAGTAGATTTGTTTTGGCAAAAAAACTGAGAGAGAATATCAATTTATTATTGCTATTATTATTATATTATATCGGAGCGGGGAGGCTGAAAAAAAGAATATTTTATTTGCTTTCAATATTTAAATTTATTTCTGTATGTAAAAATATATTTTTGTTTACTTTTCAGTTATAGCTGGCATATATTCAAATTTGGATAACAGACTTTGTATGAGAGGATACCAAAAATAATCGACTAATTGATTCATTATTATATATGATTATTTAAATTTAATTATTCATATTTTATTTACATTACATTTTTGTGTACATATCAAAAACTTTACAAAATATCATCGATTTTGACATTTTTTGATATTTTTGATATATATAAGCACATACAAACATACATATTTTATATATAATTCGCTGACTTTTGTGTGTGTGCTTTTAATTTTTTAAATTTTGGATGGATTCTCCTGAGCTTGCAAATTTGTATAGCAGCAAACAGTCAAAACCTTTGCGTTCCAGCCCCTGCGCAACCGCACAAAGCATTGAGGCAGAAAAAGTGCAGTGGCAACCAATCAGGAACCGAAAAAAAATGTGCGAATGTCTGAGTCGAGAGCGCTCAACTAGCAGATACCCTGCACCCAGATATAAAAATATGGTTCGATCTTAATGAACATTTTACAGCTGAGCAATAATATGTCAAGGTATATTATTATATCTTTAAGATTGTTATCGAGAATCGACATATTTTAGAAATTAGACACATTTTAGAAAAGTGTATACTGACTTTTAGATATATACTTTCTGAATAAAAAGGTTAGCTACCCTTGGCGCCAAAAGTATGACGATTAACACAGAGCAGGGTATAAATTGTCGAGCAGTGTGCGAGTAAAGTTTGCAACTGAATCAAAGCCATCGATAAAAAAAAAACGCTAGAAAGCCAATCGACTTGTTTGATTTATGAGTGTTTTTGTTGTTGGCGCGGGAGGGAAGGAGGAGTGAGACAGGACATGGATTGGGGAAGGGGGGTGGAGGGAGTTGAATAATTTTGCCATAATCGTAATCAAAATAAGTAGCTGCACAATGGTCTACCCCTCAAACCCCAACCGCGACCGACAAGGGAAATTGAAATTCAACCTAATTGCGGGAAATTTACAAGGCAACTTAACAGCTGACAGATTTTCGCTTTAGCGGGTTTTGTTGTCTGTGCCCAGATCCTTTTGTGGGTCCTTTCCAAATTCATAAATCTTGGCTGACGCTCATAATTCATGCAGCACTCGACGATTGGCAGCAGCGGGGATGTGGTTGGGGGCTTTTGTGTTTAGCAATAAGCTCGACTTGCGACGGACAAACTTTTTTTTCTTTACCAATGACAAGACGCGAAAAGAAAGTGAACAAGAAAACCAAACCGGCTCAGAAATGCTGGTTGAGGTTTGGGTGGACGTTAAGGGTTAGGGCATTTTGGGGGGTTGAACAAACAATGCTGCAAGTCCTAAAAGCAGTTCTCAACCATTCAAGCAATATACAAATTTGACTCCACCCACCATCGCCATCGGACAAGTTGTAAAGTGCGTGGGCGTGTTGACAGCTTAGGGCGTTTTTTTCTTAATTGATAGATTTGTTTATTTATGGGCCAAGCTGATGAAGAACTGAAACCAAAACGCAATTAGTCACTTTAATGTCATAGTCTTTAATCTCGTATATTTTAGCTTGTTTCGCAGCTGAATTACCTTTTAAGGATGCATTCGTTAATCACATATATTTATTGTACAAATTTTGTAAAATAATTAAATTGCTCTGTAAAACCGTTACATTTTATGCTGTAGTTCGTTTGAAATAAAACTGGACACGCTGGCGCCATCTATCGTCGGCAAAAGCAAAACCGTTCAAATATACCAAACAAAATTGCGCCATCTAATAGCAGGGCAGATAAATATTAAGTATTATCGCTTCGCTAAACATCGCTCGGGTATCGAAATCAACTCTGTTGCAATTAACTCAAGCTAATCATCTATGCTCACCACTAGCTTTAACCGTTATTGTGTGCCGCCATTTAATTGTGCTAACTCATTTCATTTTGCCTGTTTGTATTAATCGTGTGGAACGCCGCAATGTATTTGTCCCTTATAATTTCCATATTATTGAACTGCCTGCGCCTTGGTCAGAGCGTAACAGACGTCGATTGTCCTACGTTGGCGAACAGCGACAGCTTATCGCAGACACAGTTAATCGATCGCCTCACGCACGATTGTCGCTACGATCGCCTGGAGCGACCGACGACCTACACGGAGGCTGGAGCCCGTCTCCCCGTCGATGTTTACATGCGTGCCTACATCTATTTCATGCAAAACCTAGAGGCTCACGATCTGCAATTCAAGATCTATGCACTACTGCAAATGCGCTTTCTCGATCCCCGGCTCAATTTTCGCAATGTTTCGCCCAAACGACTGCAGCCCATTTTGGGTGAACAGCAATTGCGCGATTCTATCTGGCTGCCGCACATATTTTTGGCCAACGAGCGCGACTCCAGTATTTTGGGTAAGTCAATCAATTAAAAAAAAATACAATAGAAATGCTCATATTTAATGAACGTTGGCAGCAGTTTTTAGTTTAAAATTTGGTGACTGACTTGAAATCGTAAGTAATATGTGCGCCTATCGATTAGCACATTTTAATGTTATCGATTTCACAACACAGTTGATAATACATTAAGTGTTGACAGTCGAGGTGAATTGGATAATTCATGTGCCATACTTGCTTCTTAAATGTGGTGAATTTGTCAAACTTTTGCATTAGCTTTTCAAAATGCTAAAATATTTTAAATTAAAAACAAAAACCATAATATTATTCACCGTCTTAACTTATATAAATTTAATTAAAATTAATTTTTACAAAAAAGTATAAAAATTAATAATACAAATAATAGCATTATTTTTATTATTTCAGGCACAACGGAGAAGGATATATTGACATCGATATCGCCGGACGGCACTGTGATTGTCTCCTGGCGCATTAAGGCCACGCTCTATTGCTGGCTAAACCTGAAGAAATTTCCCTTTGATGAGCAACACTGTTCCACGGTGCTGGAGAGCTGGATGTACAACACATCCGAGCTGGTGATGCATTGGGAGCAAAAGCGTCCAATTACGTATGATCCGGCCTTGCATCTGACCGAATTTGTGCTGCAGAACTCCTGGTCCAATGAAACGGTAATCAATGCCGATCTGAGTGATTTGCGTCATGGCGCCTTCGCTGGCAATTATAGTTCCCTCAGCTTTACAGTTCATCTGAACCGTGTGGTTGGCTTCTATCTGATGGATTATTTTCTGCCTTCGATGCTAATTGTGGCCATCTCATGGGTATCCTTCTGGCTGCAGGCTGATCAAGCACCGCCACGCATCACCCTCGGCACTAGCACGCTGTTGACCTTCATTACACTTGCCTCAGCACAGGGTAAAAATATGATGATTTTATATATGATATGAGCGTAAAAAGTTTAGTTGAGTAACTAAAACTTTCAGGCGCAACTCGGCCGAGTTGCGTATCGACTCTTCGACTAATCAAGAATATATATTTTGTAAAGCAACAAAACACCAAGACTCAACTAGGCCAGGTTGCGTATCGACTATTCGACAAATTGAAGAATATATTTTTATATATATTTAATTAATTTTTTATTTAATTATTATATCGAAATCCACAGGCAAAACGTTGCCCAAGGTCAGCTATATAAAGGTGTCGGAGGTATGGTTTCTCGGCTGCACCATATTCATATTTGGCAGCATGGTCGAATTTGCATTTGTGAACACGATTTGGCGGCGTAAACACAATGTACCGGTGAGGAAGCTCAACAGTCGCCACATACTCAAGTCGACGCTGTCGCCGCATTTGTTGCGACGTCGCAGTCATGCTCGATCCCGTTCCTTCTCCGGCATTGGACGGCAGACGGACGCCAGCTCCCTGTCCGGTAATGTACCGTTCAATAACTATTTAACGGTCAATTTACCAATAAATACAATAAGAGAGGGTCAAGTGATGCCGGCAACGGCGACAAGACCATTACCATTACCATTAGCAGCACCTAACAGGAGCAGCGTGCATATGCTGACCAGTAGCAATCGTAAATTGGATGTTACGTTTGTGGAGAGCGCTTTCGGCACTGCTGCAAGTGCAACGCGAAATACCATGGCTGCCACCAGCATGGAACTACCCGATTTTACCAGCAACAGCACACACAATCTCTTGGGCGGTGAGGAGTTCAGTCATGAGGAACAGATTGCTTCGACGGGTTGGACGACGTTGACACCACAGGAAATTGCTATTTGGATTGATAGCCGAGCGCGTTTTGTATTTCCACTGGCATTTGTCGTATTCAATATGTTCTTTTGGACATTTGTCTATTGTATTTGAAAGTCATAATGTTTTTAATGTGCTGTACTTATTATTGTTAAGGTCAATTTTGTATGTAATTTTTATGTTTGCTTGATTAAATTGTGAATTTCAATCGATTGGCATTTCACATTCAAATTGCGCGCGCAGTGTGTTGCATGTTGCACACTGGCAGCAACCAGTGTTGGCAAACAATGTTCCTCATTGTTATTCGTTCTGCAAACAGAGATGGCAACTTGTTGGTCAATAGCGCAATGTAACCTGCGTTAGAGCAGTGCAACTATAGTCAGCAGTGCGCTTCATTTTATTTTTTTTCACCACTCATACGCGTACGCACACACACACCCAAACAATAACATCGGGGGCCCCAAAAACGCTCGTTCGCTCGCTCGCGACTACGACGGACCACAAAACATCGTCGTGAATGGTAAATGAAAAAAAGAAAAAAAAAGTAAACTGCAGTTTTAACCCTACGCCAAGCAAAAAAAAAAAAAAAAAAAAAACCCTGAAAAAAAGAACGGCAAAGAAATTAAGCAACAAAAACAAAGCAAGCGAGTAGTGCAAGTGGCAAAACATAAACAACAAACAAGAACAAGAACTAAACAAACGCAGATCGTTGCAACTGTGTGCGTGCGTGCGTCCCTCTCTCCGTGTGCGTGTGTGTGTGAGTGTAATAGTGAGTGTTGTTATTGCATTGGTTTTTAAAAAAAGAATACAAGGCAATTAAGGCATTTCGGATGCGTGTAAATGCTAACCGGTAAAGTTAGCAGCGTTGTTTCCCAAACCCCTTGCTGCTACATGTGCAACGCCGCCACCGAGAAACAGCAACAACAAAAACAAACATAGAGGAAGACGCATCGAGCACGTTGTCCTGCAACTGCCGTCAAACTGGAGCACCGTCATGGACACCATTTGTAGGCTGTGCTTCCAGACAGCAACGGTGAGTGCAACAAACAGATAAACATTTTATCTATATTTTTGTTGTTTTTTTTAATGTTGTTTAGTTGGCGGGCGCAACAAGCAGATTTTTTTCTATTGATTTCTGTGTTCGGAATTTGTTTTAACTATAACAATTGAATTTGTGCGCGGATTTTGCACTGCTACTGCTGCTGCCGCTGCTTATTTTGCCGCTGCTGCTGCTGCTGCTGCATTGCTGCCATCAAATTGGGTGGGGGTTGAAAAGCGCGCGCAGAACACGGCGACCCCAATGGCAAAAGTTTGGCTCGCGCACACGCACACTTGCACATACACATATATGTATCTACCTCATGTGTATGTGTGTGTTTGTGTGTATTTTGTATTTCCCCCTCCCCTCGCGCCACCTCTCAACTATTGCTGCCGTTTATTTTTAGCCAACTCAGTCAAAGTTGCTCAAGCCGCCAACTTGAAAAAAAAATACATTACACACACATATGTATGTATGTATGTGTGTACATACAAATATTAATGTTTGTATGTATATAAAAAAAAAAATTAAAAAAAATATTTTTACATTTCGTTTGTGCGCTGCTTTTGATTTTGACTCCTTTTCAACAAGCGCACACAAAACGAAATAATATGAAAAAAATAAAACAAAATGACAAAAATTCCGCTAAGGCAGCAGCGGCGTGCGCAGCGAGGGGTTATAAACTCAGTTGGGCCGAATGACCGCAATGCAAAGCCGGGCTTTGCACACACACACTGACACACAGGCATGTACACACACATACGCACGCACACCGAAGCAATTGTTTTTAAAGATCAGCAGCAATTGTTGCTGCAAGCGCAGCTTTGTGACGTCACGCTGCTCGTACCCCGTGCGATGACGCCTCTGTGCACTGTGTTCGCAGCGAAACAAAACAAAAACGAAAGAATAACAACGCTGTAGAGAGAAAAAAAAAACATGAAATGAAAACAGCAAACCAACGCCGTCGTTGCCATCGGTGTATGTATTTGTTGTTGTTGGTGCTCTTGTTGTTATTGCCTGGTGCTGGCATTTCGGGGTGCACGTGTGTGTGCGTGTGTATGTATGTGTGCGAGCTCCTTGGCTGTTATTATTAGGAGATGACGCTAGAAGGGGGGGTCTGTGGAGGCTGCTTCATAAAAAAATAAATAACAAAAAAAAAAACAAGTAAAAACTTTTCACTCGGAGTCGGAATCTCCGTCTTATTTTTTTTTTGTGATTCGGCTCACACGACCGGATCGAACTACTTTATTATATATACCAGCCATGGAAACAATCGCTGACAAGATTTCTTCTCATATTAAATAATGATTTTTACCAAGAAATAAGCGTCTCATTATATGTGCCTTACATTTAGCCATAAAAAAAAACATCGGACAACTTTTTCCATATAATACAAATAAGAATAATCGGTCAAGAGATAAGTTGAAAGTTTATAGGATCGAGATACGCGTAGATATATATGTCACCGATTTCTGATACAATATATAGCACTACACAAATGTGGATTATTCAGTTCAAAGCTAGTCTAAGACAGAAAATATTTTAATTAAATCTGTTTAAAGCTTTAACAAATAATATATGAATTATATGTGGACAAGGGTATATTAACATCGGTGTGACCAGTTAACCGTTCTTATTTGATCGATTTTTTTTCGTTTCTTTTCTTGCAATTTGACCGTCCAAAAAATAGAAACATATATGAACAGATTGATATATACATATGTTTGTATGTGCTTTCGTTAGTTTTGCTATTTTGCTACCACAGAGAGCAAAGCATTCTGAAAGAGCAGACTACAAAAAACTACCAGATAGCAAAGCATTTTCCATCACTGGAATATTCAAGCAGAACGCACAAATATATAAAAATAGAAAAGAAAAAAAAAACAAATTTCGAATTCCGGTCTGGTCAAGGGTAAAGATAAGTTCTTTCTTTTCTTTTTTTCTTTTCTTTTTAAACTTAAACCAACACAATTTCTTATTTATTATATTTTTTTTGTTTGCCTTAACTGCTTACCGATTGGAGACGCTTTATTAACGATCTTTCTTGCTTACTCTCTCTCTCTCTCTCTCTTTTTCTCTTTCTGTTTAATTACAGTTATTCCAAGTGCCCGGGTATAGCATACCAACGTGCGTACGCTGCTCGGAACAGTTGACAAACAATTCAAACTTTCATCAGGCGGTACGTGTACAGGACGGCGCGGCTGCTGCTTCTGTGGCAGCCGCTGCGGTAGCTGCTGCTGCTGCGGCCTCATCAGCAGCTTCTTCCAGTGACGGTGATGCTGTGGCGGCACAGCTGACGAATGGCAGCGCTGTCGCCGCTGTCCTACAGTTGCAACAACAGCAGCAGCAACAGCAGCAACAACAACAGCAACAACAACAACAGCAACAACAACAGCAGCAACAACAGCAGCAGCAGCAGCAGCAACAACAACAACAATTGCAATCATCAAGTTCTTCCGAGAATCTACAATCGCAGGACGATTCTGAAGATGTAAGTTCTTATAGGCGGAAGAGTGAGAGTGAATGAGAGCGCACGAGTATAATTTTGCAGCGGCAACAGTGTTGAATAACGACTCGGACACACACAGATACACAGTCTTACTGCAATATTCCAGGCGTTGCACTTGTCCATTGCTGTCTTAATGTTGGTGTTTTTTTTCCTCCCCCACTTCTCCCCATACATAACTGCAGATTACACTGGCAGTAAATACGTACATATGTACATATGTGTATATATATTTATATATATATATATATATATATATATATATATATATATATATATGTATGTATTCATAGTTCGTTTCTTTTTGCTCTTGCTTGCTTCTTTACGCTTTGCTTGTGCTTTGCCTTTCTTTTTCACACCGCTGCACTGAGAATATTGGCAACAGCAGCAGCAACAACAACAACAAGACAAATACCCTACATCTTGTCTGTGGACTGTCAGACCACTCAATACGATTTCTTTGTTTTCTTTCATATATTATTGTATTCTTCTATAAACTGAAATTGATAAATATAAGTACCCATATTTACAATCCTTGTTAAATTGGCTTGAAGTGTGATTTGGCATTACTTTTTGGCACCGAAGCCGATTGAAGGGTATTTGCGCTTCGCCTTCACTGGCTCGATTTTTTCCCCATTTTCTTATTTTTTTCTTTATTTTTATTTTGTTTTGTTTTGTTTTTTTCTTTTTTTTTTTTCATTAATATCTGCGCTGTTTGCTTGCCTTTTTCTTGCTTTGCTTTTCACGACAACGGCAGCAGCCGCGGCAGCAGCAGCAGCGACAACAACAACGTCAGAAGCAACTGCGACGCCGACGTCGACTGCACGACGTTTTTGTGCGCTGTGTAAAGCGAAAAAAATTCATTTTCAGTTGACGCTTTTGTGTGGGTGTGCGTGGCACGCAAAAAAAAAAAAAAAAAATTAATACAGAATTCAGAAAAAAAAAATACATAAATAAAAGCTTATAATACATACGCAATAAACAAACATTAATAAATCGCAAAGGAATTTGCGCATAGAAATTAAATTTTGCAACCATTTTGACCGCCAGCTTGTTGAGCGTAAGTTTCTAATGCGTGTGCGTGTGTGTGTTTGTGTATATGCGGTACTTGCAATTAGCAAAGCGCTCTTTTGCTCTCTCTCTCTCTCTCGTCTCTCTCTTTCTCTCTTACCAAAACAAAAAATGCATTTGTAATTGTCAACACTCGCGCGCTCTCTCATTCAACACAGGTGGATCTGATATTCAACGAGGAGGGCTCCTGCCCGCTCTGCAATAAGACGTTCTCACGCAAATCCTCGCTCATGACGCACATACGAAATCACTCGGCTGAGCGCAAATTTGTGTGCAGCTACTGCCACAAAGGTGGGTTTACTACTACTACTACTACTACTACTACTACTCCAACTCTATCCTTATACTATCTGTACAGCAAGCACAAATGTACAATTTGTCTTCAATTACTAGCCAGAGATCATCATCATTCATCGTCGCCTGCAAATCCTTCTCCATTTTATAGTACGGCGAGATTGGTTCCCTCAAAGTTATAATTTCATTTTGCCGATATCTCGTAAATACGACAAAATGCTACTTAAGCTGACTCTGGTGACCCCCTAACCTTAGTATGATCCTTGTTATCCATTTTTGTAGAATACGATTCTCCGATGCCTAGAATTTTATAGTAGCCATAGTCACACAGGCCGTCGTCAAATAAATTAAAAAATAAAAAGGAAAACAATTCGGTTCCGGATTTCAATTAGTTCGAATTTGGTTCCGGTTTGATAGTTTTTTTTTTTTTTTGTTATTTGTTTGTACTAAATTTAATTCTAATCTTAAAACATTTCTATATTCTGAAAGTGCAATATATATTATTTAGTATACATTTCTATGTATAGTAAATACGTAAATAAAAAAATTTTAGATTTAAGACGTACTAATTATTTAATAGACGATTGTAAATTCTGTTGTAAACCTGCATATATGAAAACAATAATTGACTGGCAATTTTCTCTCAGGCTTTACGCAGGCAGCTAATTTGCGCAACCACGAGCGCATCCACACAAATGATCGGCCGTATCAGTGCGTTGACTGCGGCAAGACATTTACCCAAATCACAAATCTGAACAATCATCGACGTCTTCATACCGGCGAGCGTCCCTTTGTCTGCAATGAGCCCGAATGTGGACGCAGTTTTGCACAGGTGAGTCTTTTGTGTGTGTGTGTGTGTAACATATGCATCTGTACTATATTGAAATGTTATCTCTTTGATTAGGTGACCAATCTGAACAATCACATGAAGTCACACCACAAGGTGCAGCAGTATTGCTGCAACGTTTGCAGCAAGAAGTTCACACAGGTCACCTCCCTGAATCAGCATCTGCAGGCGCATGCCGGCGTCACCGGCTACTATTGCCCTCGATGTCCGGAGAAGAACTTTAAGCTGCAATCGCAGCTGCATACGCACATGAAGACACATGGATTGGCCTTTCCGTACGAGTGCAGCAAGTGCGATGAGAAATTTCTACAGCAATCGCACCTCGATCAGCATCTCAAGATGCACGACGAGTTCAAATTCAAATGCGACATCTGCCCCAGCAGCTTCAATCAGGAGTCGCTGCTCAAGAAGCATGTGCAACGCCATGTCGAGGGTCGCTATCTCAACTGCCCGGTGGCTAATTGTGCCGAATCGTTTGCCGTGCGACAACATCTCTCCAAACATTTGCTCACCAATCACTCACACCACGAGCTGCCGCCGCCGAAGCGCTCCAAAAAGACCATCACACTGCAATCGCCGCAACAGCCGCTGGCCATGATCGGCCAGCCCCTCTCCCTGCAGCATACGAGGCAGCGGTAAGTCTCCATCCAGAACACAGACTCGACTCAACTCTAACCCAAAATGCAATCGCTTTTCTATAGATTCTCTTGAATTTTGTAGCATACACTTTTATTTGTACTCTCTCTCCGTCATCCTTTCTCCTCGAGACTTGAAACGTGGTTTATATAGTCGTCTGTGTCCGTCTTCAAAATCAATAACATAAAATCACATAAACGTCTCACAAATTTCAAGTTAAACTTAGCAAATATATTTGGCATAGTTGGGGAAACTCTTCCAATCACTTGAGCCATATATGGTCTGGACTAAAAAGCCATTTCACTTATACTCAGACCACCGCAAATATTGCAGTCGAATCGATTCCTGTCCTTCGTCCACTTTCTGTCTAATAGTTGCAGTTTACACTCTCCCAAAGAAGAGGCCAACTCAATAGTAGCATAGTTACCCTTGAAAAGTCTATAAACCGGTTGGGTGATGAGTTGAATGTAAACTTGTCTGCTTAAAGCAACTGATTTTAAAGTAGCTTCTGTTATCTGAGAAAATACAGAACTCTTGTCGCAAAGTTAGGATTGCAATTGTAAGTAACTGGAGAGATTTCCGGCCTAACGTTAAGTCTCGGAGTAGACGCTCCTTTGCTCCTTAAAAGATCGTTCTATACACATATTTAAATGAATCGATCGAAACAAATCGATAGAACCACATATATAAGTCCAACACTTTAAAAGCTAAACCCACGCAACACAAGTATGTAGTTAGATCGGTAACTGATTCAAAGTTCGATAGTTATCTATTTGGGGACACTTGTTTCTTGGTTATCTTGCACACTTGGACTGCTATACTTGAAACGGAATTATGATTGTGTTATTCACGATATCTTTTAACTTTTTGCAGGTGGCAGACCGCCGAAGAACAAGAACAAAACCTCACTGGCAGCCACGGCCATCAAGATCGAGATCAACGAGCCGTTACACAGTCAGCACATCATCAGCAGTGCCAGCGGACTATCCATCCAGCAGCAGATCAATCAGCATATGCAGCAGCAGGCACAGCAGCAACAGCAGCAGCAACAACAACAGCAGCAACATCTCCATTTGCCCATGGGCCAAGCGGTTAAGGCGCGCTTCATACCCACTAAATAGAAATTAATGAAACCAACAAAGAAACAGAGATAGATAGATATATATATATAGAGAGAAAGAGAGAGAGAGCGAGTGAGAGAGCTGCTCAGTAGCGTTTACGATCGGTCTGTCGTGAAGTTCACCACCCCCCCCCCCCCACCCCCCACCATACCCGCCCCCATGTCACTAACAATAGTTAAGAAAAAAGTTTTGAACAAAATGCATCACATATCCTTCGAGCACATACATAAACATATATATATATATATATATATACACACACATAGCAATATACAAAAATACGATAGCTGTTAACTGATAGAGAAAACATGCAGAACCGATAATCGATAAATTGATCCAACGATTGGTGGGGGCAGCAAACACACACAGACGCCAACTGGCGGCGGCGGCGCATTGGCTGAGGCTGCTGGTTCGGTTACACGGCGTTTGGCGCGCATGACGTGACGGACGCTGCGGCCCTTGCGCCTCTAGCGGCTGCTAGCTTGACGCCTGCTGCGCCCTCTAGCGACTGACCCCCTACCCGTCGCTCAACCAAAACCAACAACAACAAACCAAATAGCAAAAGAAGAAAACAAAACAAAACAAAAATAACAAGTTTATATACTCTTGCTGAACGGTGTCCATTTGGTGACATCTAAATCGATTTGCGTAAATACATACACACTTACAGTAGACTCTCGAAAAATTGCGAAACTTGAAAGTTGGTTTTTCGTCAAAAATGTGAAAAACACAAACATGTGTCTTATTTGTGTTATTTTTTCTTAATTTCTTTACGAGTATTTACTTAAATTACGTAAATATTTATAAAAAATAGAAGAAAAAATTTGATAAAAATCCTGTGTATGCAGATTAAGCAGAGACAATTAATAAGTTAAAACATTCTTCATGCAGAATTTTTGGCAGAACGCTATTTTATTTTTATTTATATTTGTATTTAAAGTATTTTTTTCATTTTTTTTTATTGGAAAAGTGCGAACTGTAATTTTTAGAGAAAAAAATTATTTGTAAAAGTTAAGGAAACACTTGAAATCTTAGAGTAAAGTGTCTTGAACAAATCGACTTATTCGCGTTATTTTCTCTTGTGAGTCTTAACTTTTTCGAGAGTCTACTGAATTTAAAAAAGAAGAGACAACATTTTTAAAAACACCCCTGCAAGGGTATTTAAACATATAAAACATAAAAAGCTTTCAACAAAATCGGAAAGAAATTTTAAATACAACCAGCAGCAATTTCATTGGGCAGCACCAGACGTAACGTAGTGTCACGTAACGTAACGTAAGGCAAGGCAACGCTAAGCAAACAACAAACAACTGTAACTTAAATCGAATTAAAAATGTAACAATTAAGTGTAAAGAAGTAACAAATATGGCGAAGAACAAGCATAAGCAGTTTAAAAGGAATGCAAAAACAGAAGAATACTTACAATTACAAGTAATTATATAAATATATATACATTTAAATTGATATGTATTATAAGCCGTTAGCTTAAGTGTTTTTATTTTTTTTTTTTTAAATAAAACTTATAGAAAGTATGAAAAGTCAACTGCGCAACTGTATATTATTTATGAACTGTGAGGCAAATTTAATAATATATATTTTTAATAACTTCTTTGAGTTGGTTTTCATTTAAATTTAGGAAATCTTTTTTATTCGTTATTAATTTTATATTCTCAGAACTACGCTTTTTTTCCTTTCAAATACTACCGTTATGGGCACACTGTTGCACACAGCGCGCGAGAAGGAACAAGTGTGTAAGCAACGGTCGGATAAGTGAACGGATTCGTTTTGTGCATGCTCAACCCAAAAGTGTGATCGGTGCGGCATGTCTTCACCCGTTCGTTGCATTTGTCAGACAGAAACAGAAAATGCATTTGTGATCGTCGCAGTCTCGCTTCTGTCTCGACATTTCACAACATTGAAACTGAGAAATTCAATAAATGGAATGAATGTTCTTATTAAAAATAATGTTCACAAACGAGCTTATTCGCATTGCAGTATGTCATCAAAAATCATTAATTTATTCACTTTACAAACTACAACTACTTACAACTACAAATTCATTTTTTTCACACAAAAAAAAAACGAAAGAAAAAAAGCAGCAGCAACAATCACATAAAGGGAAAACCATTCTCCCGTTTCTGATTCTATAATATATTTAACAATTGCCGTGCTTTCGTTGCCTCAAATGAACATCGTTGAAGTATTAATACTAAGTATTAAGTACTATCACCAAAATAATATTTCGTTATAATTGGTATTTTACGTGTCCAAAGTAAATGATGATTCTGACTCGCTCTCTACAGCTGCGCTTAACATTTGGATTGTTCATGAGGCACAGCAAATTTACAGTTATGTTACTGTTTTCTTTGATTTCGCTTTACACCTTTTTGAGGTGAAACTTATTTCACCACTTCAAATGAATGAAAAGGGTTTTGGAAAATGATTCAAAGCTACCCATAAATTATATACGAGTATATAAATTCTTGATCGGCAAAAACAGCAATTATGTAAGATGTTTAACATTTTGTATAATACAATTAACAGTCGTTCGATTTTGGCTAAGCATTGGAGAAATTTTAGCATATAACTATTATAATTGCGCAGCTTCCAAGCTGGCCAAGCGAACATCGAACTCAGACTTGTGCTCGTTCTTCAGATAGCGCCGCATGCCATGCAACAAGTAACGCAATTTCGGTGCACCCATCACGTCCAGCAGCAGAAGCATTAGGGTCTCAAAGCTATCATCGCCACCGGTTTTATAGGCCAGCAGCGCTTTGCCAAAGCTTCGAAACTGATCGCTATTGATGACGCTGCGCACCTATTTGCCAAGAGAAAGTGGAAGATAGATAAAGAGAGAGAGAGAGAGGGAGAGAGAGAAGATTGATGAATCTGCTGATGTTCATTAAAAATAAGAAGCCAAATTACAAACCTCACGCAGGAAATCTGCACGCGATTCGGGCGCCTCTTTCAGCTCCGATTGCGCAACTGAAATTGCAGAACAATTATTGCTGCTGCTGCTACGGCTGCTGGTGGTGGCAGCTGGAGCGCTTGGTTCGATCTTGATCATATCACTATTATTGATGAGCCGATATCGCTTCTTGCTGCCCATGGATTCGTTGTGGAATGTGGGTGAGCTACGCTCACGCTTGTGTATCTTCACCAGATCGCGGCCAGAGTCCGCGTTGAAGTCGATGCTCTGCAAGACATTTTCAAAATAAGTTTAGCTCAAGCTAAAATAAAAACGGAATAGTTTTCCTTGGCATTCCAAAAATTGAATACACATTGCAGATGATATATGTATTTGTACATAAAGTACTCTGATGAGATGTCTTACAGATGGAAAAGAGCAAAGGGTGAGATCATACCGTAACATTGGAGTTAAGCCGACTCATAAAGTCCATAGGATTGGGTGCTTTTGGACTTTGTGCATTCCGTCCAGCTGCATTGGCATAATCCGCTGGCGTCCACGTCTTTATGGAGTTGGCCATTTCAACTTTGCTGCAAATGGCCAAACAACATTAGAAACAAAAATCTATTTAACAAACAAAAAACATTTCTCCATTCACTTACGCGGCCAGCTCGCTGGCCAGCTGAAATTTGGAGGTTCCCGTGTTTCCCGGTTCCCGTTTAATTTGTGTGATGGGCGCCAGAGTCAGCTGATCCTCCTTCTTGCTGCAAATGGTATGCAGAACCGGCTCCACAGCGCGCTCCACCGGTTGCACAATCTGTGAGAGCATATAGAATCCTTACAAAAATATAGACTACATATATTTAGAATCAAGAGCTAACCGTTTGCTCGGCATGCTTAAAGAACTGTCGCAGTTCGCGCACAATGGGACCGAAGGGTGAGCTTTGTGGTCGTGCACCCAAATGGTTGCGTATCCATTTGGACAGCTGCTGCACCTGCGACGCATCCTGGAAGCGAGCATCGCACAGCAATATAGCGCCATAGTCGTTGCGATGTCGAATGACTCGACCGATTGCCTGATTGACGGCCCGTGTTGCTTCCAGATTATACCATTCATTGCCACTCAGCAACTGATTCTCCCTGGTGCGATTCGTTTCCAGATAGCGACGCTTCAGTATCACCTTGGGATCCTTGAGCGGTGGAAACGGTAGACCAGTTATAATCACCGCCCGACCATTGCGATCGGCAAAGTCCAAGCCCTCGGACACCTTGCCGCGACAGACGGCCATAAAGCAGGCACCCTTCGAGTCCCTGATCGCCTGATAGAACTCCTCCATGGTGCTCGTAAACTGATCCTTACCACGCGGCTCCAGAAATATCGGCTTGCGACTAGATATATCCGCCCACAGTCCACTAGCCTGCCACGCGTCCACGCACTGATTCAGCATTGGGTACGATGGAAAGAAGACCAATAAGCCATCTGGAACGATGCGTGACACGTTCAAAATTGTTTGGCCCAGCGAGCTAATGTACTTGGGATTATCTCTGTCAATGGATCGGGAAAGCGAAAGTAACAAACAATCGTCAGAATGAATGATAATTAAATGTGGAGTGTGAAGAGTGGCAGCCTTACACAAGTCAAGCTGCTTGCGACAATAACTTATCCAAAATACAATATATTCATTTGGAAGTATGGCAATATTGTTTCTTTATGAAAAGCTGAAGACTCCGGCTTAATTCTTATGCACATTTGGCAGCGTCCAATTGTTAATTTTTTGTGAATTTGATAGCTCAGTTAAGTCTTCCTTATAATGAATATATTCAATTCTTACATTTAACAAAATAAAATCAACATATAAATTAAAGAATTATTCACTTTATGCAATTTACAATGTGCCAAACAATTTGAATGTGCGCTATCTTAAGCCAGAGACTTCCGTTCTTCATTAAGAAACAATTTTGCCACATTTACAAATTGATATTTTGTATTTTATATTTAAATTGTATTTGAAAAATTCACAAGTTATCGTCCTCACACCTATTTTTATTTTCCAGGTGTTTATTTCATAAACCTTTTCTTTTTCTCGCTTTTTTTTCAATATTATGCACTTTGACTTTTCAGCTCTTGTCTTTTACATAGGTCAAAACATCTTATCTCTAATTCATGCACTTATATGTACATATACATATGTATGTATATGTGTGTTAAGCATATGCAAGCAATAATATACATACATATATCTTATCTTCTTTATTATATTTAATTTAAACTACGCACATGTTTGTTATACTCTAACTGCATCGAAAATGGGCTAAGAAGAGTACAATGAAGTTGTGCAAAAGTATGTATAGTATATTATATACATGCATATACATATATATTCTTGATCAGCATCAACTGCAGAGTCGACTTAGCCATCTATCTGTCTGTATGAGTAAACCGATCTTAGAGATTGAAAAAGCTAGAGACTTCAAATTTGGAATATATGTTATCGTATATCAAATGTAGATCGATTAGCAGATTATATCGAAAACTTCCCCCGATCAAATCGAATTAATTTTAAGATATATTTTAACATTGGCAAGTTGAGGACCATATCTGATGCTATATGAAAAACAAAAAAAAAAAACTGGTGGTTGTGGCATAAGAGTCAAGAAGCTGGTTTAAAAAAAAAAAAATAATATTCAAGGACTATTTTAAGAGCGCCAAAAATTCCTTAGACCTTGCAGACCGAAGTCAAATTGCCGTCAGTTACATTTTACAATAAATTTAAAAAACTGACTATATATCAAATGTGTGTTGTATCAGTTACATAAATATATACATCATCGTCTTGCTTATTACTGCCCTATCTCACTTGTTTTTGGCTATATATCAAGTGTAGCTCTTCTTCTCTTTCCCTTCTAGAAATGCTATAACTTACCGATTCTTATAGTTGGATATGAGCTGTTCGCGATCGGGTCCGGTGCCAATGATCTTGACGTAGACTTGCGCCTCATTGACAATATGCGGATTCTCTAAATGCTGCGCCACCGGAATGGCCAGCTCGGCGATGAGCGGTTTAAGTGGTGCCAATGTGCCGCTGGTGAGGATTACGCTGCGCACATGCGTATTGAGCAGCTGTTCCATGCCAAAGCCGGGATTGAAACACCAAAAATTAATGATTCTTCCCGTCTTTGAGGCACTGCTCGCCGCATTGTTGTTGCCCTTGCCCAGCCATCCAGTTTGGGCCTTGTTGTTGGTTTGCGACTGTTTGCTCTCCTCAATCTCCGCGTGCACCTTGAAGCTGCAACTCACCTTGGACATGATGTCCCCCTTGTTGGCAAACACAATGTTCAACAGATCAGCGAGCACCATAAAGCTGCCACCTTTCCGCAGCATCGAATGCTGCGATGCCACCATCAGATACTGCACCAATTTGTCCAGCAGCGCTACAATTGTCGCACAATTGCCGTGCGTGAACTAAGAATTATAGATAAATAGTTGAGAATACAGCAATGGATATGGGGTATCTTCTAGCTTTGGATGTGATTTAACTTACATTTGCTTTGCCGAGTAGCTCGTACATGTAGGAAGCTGGATAGGTGGCGCCATCAGCTTTATTATCGACAATAACACCATCGATGGCCTTCTCCAATTCAAGGAGCATTTCCTTGAGCAACGTAAGATCGTCTATTGTGAAGTCCTTGGGTTCATCGGGTCCGGCAGTGTCCTGTGAATCGCTGCTGCTGGTGAAGATCTTCATGATGTGGGTAACATCTTCAATGGCAATGGCCACATCCGAGGAACGTATCTGCACCGAGGCGGACTCCTCGCAAATCTTCTCAATGTTGTGCCCCTCATCCAGAATGACGATCGCGTTGCTCAGCTCAATTTTGTTCGCTTTGCGTGCCTTGGGATCGAGCAGGTAATTGTATGGCATGAATGTGATGTCCGCACTGTTCACCAGCTCCTTGGAGGCAAAGTATGGGCACATCTTGAGCCGCTGACCCACCTTAACCAGATCCTCAATATCCATGATGCTGGGACCACGGAAATCCGGATGATCCTTTTTGGATTCAACGCGCAACTGAAATGTACAGCTCTTGGCGTGCACCTTTAGTTTGCACATGTTCACTTTATTCGAATTGCCCTGCTCACGCATCACATCCGGATGGATGCATAGCTGATCTCGTGAGCCAAGCACTACGGCCCGCATATTCGCGTAAGCGGTGCGCTTTAGTTCACGCATCGCCTGAGTCAACTGGGAGTGGGTACGCGATGCATATATCACCTTCGGTACACCCCAATTGTTGCTCTTGCCAATCACAGCTGCAATTTCACTGCCCATAGCAGCTCCAGCTCCAGCTGCACCCGTTAATTGTGTTTGCTGATCGTGCTGTAATTTTTGCATGTTGAGCTGCACCTCAGATTGGCGTGTTCGTATCCAGCCGAGCGTGGAGCACAGCAGACTTAGAGTTTTGCCGGTGCCGGTGGGCGATTCCAGGACACCATTGGTGCCATCGCGCAGGCAAATAATCACCTTTTCCATATAAGCGCGCTGCACATCGTATGGCTCGAAGGGAAAATGCACCGGTATGCCGGCGATTATGTTCTCCGGCATGGCACTTTAATAATTCGTAGACACTTTAACTGTTATCGATCTGATGTTTTCTTCCTTTTCTGTTTTTGTGTTGTGTGCCGTGCTTGCGCGCCAAAACAAAGTATTGAAAACATGTGTTGCTGCAGACAGCTGACGACCCTGCGTTGCGTACCGATAACGATGTATGCAGCTCTCGTATCGCCTGTATTTAGTAAACGTTGTTGCATTTGCAGACATATCGTATACCACCACCAAAAGTGAAATTTAAAGGGCCACATTGCTGAAAAGGGGAAGCAGGTTGGCAGGGTCAGCGAGATCAGCGTTGCATGTAGCGGCATTTTTCGCAAGGCGGCGTATTTTGTAATTATTATATTATACCATATAATGTTTGTTAATAAATTAATTAATAAGGAAATGATGATGATCTGAGAGCAAGTTAAATACAGGGGAGAATCACCGGGAGCATGGAATAAATTAGTCGTCAACTACAATTGAAGGGCGATGGGCAAATCAAATCCGTGCAGGCCCATTGCAGGAAGGGCGGGTACGTCGTGGCCATAAACACCAGACCCGTCAGCTGTTTCGTTTGTTTTGTGTGTGCATGTGGGTCTTTATGTAGTGTTGTGTAGGTCGAGTTTTTTTTTGAGTCTGTACCGTCCACGGGCAAGGCTGGAGTTACCCACCTCTGGGAATACTGAGCTAGCCGACGTTGCCCACTGCGAAACACTGGACGTGTTACAGCTGATTGCAATATGTTAGGAAATTAAAAATATCAAACCAACTCTGTGTCGTCTCAATAATCAACACCCCCGCTCTGATGTATCGACGCTTATCGATATTCAGCAAAATTCACAACTATCGCAACGGCTCAGTTGGTTTTTTACTTTTGAACAGAGAGGTTGGTTGGCTAGCCGCGCCAAAATTAAAAAAGAAGCAAATGTAATAGCAAAAGAAAAGGCGACAATGCGGGACGAGAGGGACGGCCGCAGTGTGTGTATGTGTGAAACAAACTAACCCGCCTGCTGAGATATATACTACAAGTAAACATACAAATAAATTGCACACATACATATATACATGCCACCACTGGTCGTGTAGTGGTCGTGTTGCTTCGGTTATCCGTCCGTCCGTTCGTTCGTCGCTCAGTCGATCGGTCGGTCGTTTGCGCCATCGTCGTCATCATCATCAGAGTCGTGTCCGACAGTCAGTCAGTCAGTTGGCGAGTGGATTGGTTGCTTGGTGGGTTGGTGGCTGCCTGGCTGGGTTGTTACGGTCGCGCGGTCGGGTAGCGGGGGCGGTTGTTTGGATGAGCGAGCGCCAAGAGAGAGAGAGAGGAGGAGGAGCAGCAGCAGCAGCAGCAGTAGTAGTAGCAGTGAGAGCGAGCGTATAAAAGTTGTTGCTTGTGTGCTACGTTGGGCTATGCACCATAATACAACCGAATACACAGATACACACATGCAAACGTTCGCTTATGCTTCTCTCTCTGTGTGTGTGCGTCTTTTTCTTTTTTTTTTAACTGTGTGTGCGTGCGTGGCCGTTGGTTTGAGAGCGCGTCGACGGACGGACAGACGAACTGAGGTGGTAATACATTTTTGTTGGCACAAAGTAAAATAACGTAGAATAAAAAATTGCTCAGGCACTCGTTCGTCCGTCCGTCCAATCGGAAATACAGGAATAGTAACTGAATATTCCCGATTAATGTTGACAATAAAATATAATATTTGAAATTTTTTTGTGTCGGCTGATTGTTATCACCACCAACGGCCAACGTTGCTATCTCGCTCTCTTGCCGTCCAGTTCAATCCGCTTCAGTTGTAAATATCGCAGCGTTTTTAACACACAACTCAAATAAAATCAACTCTCACTGATGACGATGATGATGATGCTGTGCGTGAATGATGAGTGTCTGTGTATGTGTGTGTAGTGTGTGTGTGTGGAGTGTGTGTATGTGTGTGTGTGCTTGTGACGTTGCGAAAACACAACTACAATTATTGTTCTTGTCGAATTTGTATTAACTCGAAAATAATAACAACTGCTGCGCACCCGCCCACAATCAGCTGCGAATTGTAGACACGATAACACATTTGAAAGCTTGGCGCGCTCTATCACAATCAAATGCAACGTTGCAGTGTGTTCATGTATCAATGTTCGATAGAAGCCGATAAACGCATAGCTACTTCCACTACACATGCAAATTAGTTGTCGTTCGTGCTTATGTCGCATTTAAAATTAAGGTCACACTAATCATGTCGTTTATCAAATGAGCACTCCCACACCTTGCCACTCCCTCCTCTTCCTCGCCGGTACATACATTTAATAAACAACTAAAAGTTACAACTTTATTGGTCATCCTGTGCGGCAAGGTCGTTGCACATATCGCACTGGTTATTGTTGTTGCTCGGCTTTCATGGCCTTAAATACTTCTTACTGCTAATCTCAGCAACAAATTTCTATATAAATAAAAAAAAGATATATATATATATAGTAAATAGCCGGAGTGTGGCCAGTCCCCCCTGCTCATTGTTACCTGGCTACAGCGTTGCCACCAGTACAAAAGCTAATGTTGTTGTGTGTGTGTTGTGTTAAGAAGTTTGTTTTGTGTTTGTGATTGCAATTAATAATGCATTAAATAATTCAGCGTGACCCCAGTTAATAATTTTATCCACGTGCTGTTTTTGGTTACCTGCAAGCATCTGCTTTTGCTGGGCTATTGTGCGTTCTCTTTGACATCTGGCAACGCTGAATGTAGTGCACGCATGTAATACGTTTATATGGGTATGTGTGTGTGTTAGAGAGAAAGAGATGGAGAGAGGGGTGAGTGAATGGGCTCCCATTCGAATAGAAAATGAGTGCTTTGTACTCAAAACTCAGTCAATTAGTCGCCTGAAGGCGGCGACAGCGATGACAAATGCAGGCGCGTCGATAAACATTTTTCTTTTGGTTCGTGGCGCGTCATTTAACATATCTTATAAAATGTATTATAAGTTGACTAAGGTTTGTGCTAAACCGTATGAAGGGGAGGGGGATTTTGGTCGCTTTTGCTGTACTTGCAGAAATTTTGACTATTCCTGCTTTGGCCAGTTGTTGCTGTCAATTAGCGATGTGTTCGTGAGGGTGAGTGTGACGCGATCGCCACAGACGATAGTGGAAAAGAAACGAGAAGTGCACACGTGCTGCTAGTCAAAAGTGTGTTTGTGTGTGTGTGTTACTACTCGTATGCGCACGTATGTATGTATTTATGTGCATTGTGAAATTTATAAATGCATATATAAAAAGGAAGGCCTTGATAATACATTTCTGATATGGGTGTATATTGTGAAAGCCACTGAAAAATAAGTACCATATATATACATACATATATAATATATATATATATATATATGTACATACTTATCAGGCCGTGATCGTGCGTGAGTGGATCGCATATATTTTGAGCAATGTTTTCACGCTCGAGCACATCTCTAATGCCAACAGAGCGATCGATAAAGGTGTTGACTGAATAAATGAATTTGTAGAGCACTCGAATTGACTGTCTGTCTCTGTCTGCATGTGTGTGTGTGTGTATGGCCAATTGAGTTTATGTTGGAAAACCAAGCAAAACTTTTATTCCCACACCCAAAAGCGCATCCCATCTGTGTACAAAACCAACCAGCCTAAGGAAACAAAAGCAAAAACAGATCAGAAATAAAAAAGAAAGAGAGAACATTAATATCACCATTAGAGATCTCTTCAAGCGAAATTAGCACATTTATTGTCCAAATTGTGCGTGTTCGGGCCTCGGTGTGCGCGTTTTTTTTTTTTTTTTTTTTTTTTGCTTGAGAGCATTATCTCTGATTACGAAAAAGGTGATGGACGTATACATATATATATATGCACACATACACATATAAATATATACGTATATATACATTTGTTCTCTTCGCATGTGTGTGTGTGTGTTTGAGTTACAAAATCGGCCAATAGCCTTTTTTTTTTTTCTTTTTTTTTTTGTCGGGCACAAAGTGAGTATGCGCAACATGCAAATTTGAATCGATAACATCAAGTGAAAATCGATAAAGCTAAATATCTCCTAAAATTTTAAAGCCAGAGTTACTATATTCTGCTGGTAACCTCCTCAAAGATCAATATAAATATATCATTTTTTTCTGGCATATATTCTGATAATTACCTTTAAAGATTGGCTTAGAAAAAAAATAATAAATGAGCAAATTCCCACCATTCCGGCCACCTGTTATCGAGATTGCATAGTATTCCGCAGTCGGTTATGTTCAACGTTCTCACACGTTTTTTGTTTTGTTTTTTTTTTATCTCGTGTTTCATTGCAGAGTTCGTTATTAAATATTCCCATATGCAGATGTCAGCTCTTACAAGCAACATGTACTATAAAAGCGGCACTGTGAATCGAAGGAAAAGGGCAAATCGCCCCAGTCCAGGACATCAAGAGGATAACACATGCTGCTAGCAAGGCATTAAATGCTTGCAGCAGCAATCAAAATCAAAAGAGCAGTACAAAAAAACAAAACGAAAAAGAAAAAAAAACAAATAATAAAAGCAACAAACACTAGAGATAACAGCTCTACTGGAGCAACAACAATCAACAACAACAACAAGAACAACACAACATGTAACGGATCAGTGTTGGAAGCAAGTTGTTAAAAAAGAAGACTATACACAAACACAAGCACACACACACACACATACACAAACACACCCGCAATTCTCAATTGCACACAGACGTATACTGATAGCAGATCTCCCTTGCTCTCTCGCTGACTGACGAACTGCGCTCTAATTCAAATTCTTTTTGGACGCACATCGCAAGAAACGAAACGGTAAATTAAGTTTACATTTCACTCTCTCCATCTTTCTCTCTCTCTCTCTCTCTCTTTATCTGTAGTATAAATCCAAAATAGTAAACACAAAAACAGACTGTGGAAAAATGACTTGTTTGTTTTAAGTCGGTCTTAAAAACTGAGAAAGCTGAATATAACCCAAATTGACAAATAGTTCAACAATTTTTGTTTTGTTAGCTACACAGTTATATGGGCACATAAGTCCCACAAATGAAATGCACCGATAAGAGATTAAATCTCTTATTTGATAATTAAATTAAGGAACGCAACTTTTGCGGCATTTTCTTAGACAATTTACCCAATTTATCTAATACGAAAGAAAAATCTTGAGATTAGTTAAGTTTAGTTTAGATATAACAATATTTGTCAAAGAAAAAAATGGACTGGTCACATAAATAGCAAACTTAATACAAAAAAAGTGTAAGTTTCGCATAAGAGGTTGATAGTTTAGCTCGAAAATACATTCTGATTTAGAATTTGGTATTAAATACTGCAATTTTAATGAATTCACAGACCTTTCGCGAGCTATTTTGGCATTTATCATTTGGTAGGAATTTCAAACTGTTTGGAATCCGATCCAAAAGACACCTCGTTCTATAAATGATGGTCCCATGCATCCTTATTCTTTTGAGCCGTGGTCTGGGTACTATTGATGATGGGCTCGATCTTTCGAGGCTTTGACTTTCCAAGTCTTGCTTTTCAGTAAATAGGACTTACTTGCTTTAACTTTGGCAAGTTCATTTCATACAATTTTCTTTATTATTATTATTAACAAAAAAAAAATTTAAAAAAAAATATTGTTCATATAAGATTCGAATTTAACAACATGTGCTGCAATTTATTTATTTGACCACTTCAACTGAGAATTATAGCAAAAGTAGCAAAGATATCGGAACGCCTAGTATATATAAGATAATATATATTTGGTTTTCAGATCTTCTGTGCTATATATCTCTGAGCATAACTGTGCGATTTTGAATTGAAAGCAACTGCGTGTTTATCTATAATGGCTTGCAAATGATTCTGATTTTGATTCTCACTCTCAATTTATTTTCGTTGGTAGGAGGCGTGAGCGCGCACAAGGGGGATTACGAGTGGGCTTTTTTTTGGCAGCCATGACAATCATACTCTTTCTGGTGGACACCTCGTCGTCCATGTGCCAGAAAGCGTATGTGAATGGTGTGCAAAAAACGTATTTGGACATTGCCAAAGGAGCCGTTGAGACGTTTCTCAAATATCGACAGCGTACCCAGGATTGTCTCGGCGATCGCTATATGCTTCTCACGTTTGAGGAGCCGCCGGCTAACGTTAAGGCCGGCTGGAAGGAGAATCATGCCACATTCATGAATGAATTAAAAAATCTACAAAGTCACGGCCTTACCTCAATGGGTGAATCGTTGCGCAATGCCTTCGATTTGCTCAATTTAAATCGGATGCAATCTGGCATCGATACGTATGGACAGGGGCGTTGTCCATTTTATTTGGAACCATCGGTGATTATTGTCATAACCGATGGCGGTCGCTATTCGTATCGGAATGGTGTCCATCAGGAGATCATATTGCCGTTGAGCAATCAAATACCCGGTACCAAGTTCACCAAAGAGCCTTTTCGCTGGGATCAGCGTCTATTCTCCCTCGTCCTCCGTATGCCCGGCAACAAAATCGATGAGCGTGTCGATGGTAAAGTGCCGCATGATGATTCGCCCATTGAACGGATGTGCGAGGTAACCGGCGGACGATCATATCGCGTACGCAGCCACTATGTCCTCAATCAATGCATCGAGAGTCTCGTGCAGAAGGTGCAGCCGGGTGTTGTGCTCCAATTTGAACCGATGGTGCCTAAGGAGGCCAACGGTGGTGGCACCAGTGCCAGTGGCAGTACCAGTGGCGGCAGTGGCAGTGGCACTCCCACCAGCAGTGGTAGCAGCAACAGTGGTGGCAGCAACAGTAACAGCGGCAACAACGGCGGCTGCAGCAGCGGCAGCAACACAAGCACAAGCAGCAACAGCAGCTCAGCAACGGTAACAACGGCAACATCATCCACAACGAGCAACGAACCAACGCCGGACATTGTTTTTCCGCTGATGAAGAAAATGATCTATGTGCAGAAGCATATTACACAAAAGACCTTTCCCATTGGCTATTGGCCGCTGCCGGAGCCATATTGGCCAGATTCGAAGGCGATAACACTGCCGCCACGCGATGCACATCCAAAGCTGAAGGTATTAACGCCCGCCGTCGATGAGCCGCAGTTGGTGCGCAGTTTTCCGGTCGATAAATACGAGATCGAGGGTTGTCCGCTCACATTGCAGATCCTCAACAAGCGGGAGATGAACAAATGCTGGCAGGTGATCGTCACCAATGGGATGCATGGCTTTGAGCTGCCATTTGGCTATCTGCGAGCGGCGCCCAATTTCAGTCAGGTGCATCTGTATGTGCTGGCGTACAATTATCCGGCTTTGTTGCCACTGCTACATGACCTCATACACAAGTACAACATGAGTCCACCCAATGATCTTATGTATAAATTTAATGCCTATGTGCGATCGATACCACCATATTACTGCCCATTTCTGCGGAAAGCCCTTGTCAATATCAATGTGCCCTATCAGCTGCTGCAGTTCCTCTTGCCCGAGAACGTTGACAACTATCTGTCGCCGACGATTGCCAATCAGTTGAAGCACATTAAGAATACGGCCAAACAGGATCAGGAGAATTTATGCCTGAAGGTCTACAAGCAGTTGAAACAACCAAAACCGCCTTACCGTCAAGTGGAAACGGCCAAATTGTGTACGGGTGCTGCACTGCGTCGTGATCTGGTGCGTCATCCACTGCTGCGGGATACGTTCGCCAAGCTGCATGCGGAAATTGAGCCGGTGGATAATTATACCATTGTTGTGCCTCAGCTGACGCATCAGTCATCAGCGAAAACGTATCGCAATCCATTCGATATACCACGCAGGGATCTGGTCGATGAGATAGCACGGATGCGTGAGAGTTTCCTGCGGCCGGCGAGTTTGGTGGCCAAGGATTCGGGCCATTGTCTGCCCATTGCCGAAATGGGCAACTATCAGGAGTATCTGAAGAATAAGGATAATCCGTTGCGTGAAATTGAGCCGACCAATGTGCGACAGCACATGTTCGGCAATCCATACAAGAAGGACAAGCACATGGTCATGGTGGATGAGGCCGATCTCAGTGATGTTGCACCTATGAAATCATCTAATTCAAATAACGGTGCCAATAACAACTTGCCATCATCGAGCGGCGGCGGTGTCGGTGGCGGCATGTCCGGCATGGGTCTAGTTGGTGGTGGTGGGGGCATGTCCAATCTAATGCTCGGTGGTGGCGGCAATGGCATCATTGGTCCCATGGGTGGCATCGGTGGCACAAAGGGCAAACTGGATGGCACATCGCGCGGACGCAAACGGAAGGCGGGCCCATTGCCACGTGCCTTTGAATTCCGGCGTGCATCGACTGATTCGAGGCGCAGCGGCAGCATCAGCCCCACTCCGAGCAACGCAAGCAACAGCAGCAGCAGCAGCGCCAAAATTGGCGGCAGCAACATCACCAACGTAGCCAGCAGCAGCAACAGCAGCTGCAGCAGCGATGTGGAAATGCTGCTCGATGAGGATAGCAATAGCAGCTTTGCGTCGGATGTATCCAGCGACAGCAACATAAGCAGTAGCAGCAGCAGCAGCAGTATTGCCAACAGCAACATTATCACCAACAGCAGCAGCGCTGGCAACACCAACATCCTCAGCAGCAGCGGCAACAGCAGCAGCGGCAACAGCAGCAGCAGCAACATCAGCAGCAGCAACATCAGCAGCAGCAGCAACATCATCAGCAGCAGTAATATTATCAGCAACAGCAGCAACATCAACAGCAGCAGCAGCAGCATCATTGCCGCCAGCAACAACAGCGACTCTGGTTTGTCGACGACGCATTTAGCGGAACGTTTCAGTATTGATTTCAGCGAGGAGGAGGCCTGCGAACAGGAGACGCCGCTCAATGGTTATGTGCACAATTTCATCAATGGGATTAGTGAGGAGGAGCGCGCTATTGAAGCGGAGCATGCCAGCAGCAATAGTGCTAGCAGCGGCAGCAGCAGCATCAGCAGCAGCAACAACAGTGCTACTAACAGCAGTGCCAGCAACAACAGCGCAAACAACAACAGTGCAGCAACAGCAGAAACTCTAGCGGAGACAATGCCCATAGCAACAACCAGCAGCAGCAGCAGCGTTATAGTCGCACCAGCAGCAGTCACAGCTGCAACAGTTGCCAGTAACGGCGCCAGCGATCTATACAGCAGCAGTATGCATAGTAGCAACATGGCCAGCAGCAGCAGCAGCAGCCACCACCATAACAACAATAATAATAATCATAACAATCATCACAATCACCACAGCAGCAGCGGCGTTTTATATGTGCCGCTTAATGGACTTACCATGCAGCATGCCGCATATAGCAGCAATGTGGGTGCAACACTCGACAATACGATGCTGATGCTGCCAACAGCAGCAACGGGAATGCATAAGGTTGCAACAGCAATGTCACCGCTCTTGTTGCTGCCCAATGGTTATGCGAGTCAACATGGCGGAATGTTGTCACCGCCTGCAGCAATATCAACACCACCACCAACAACAACAGCTGCAGCAGCAGCAACTGCCACAACAGCTACTACAACAACAGCAGCTGGAATATCAACAACAGCAACAAACAACAGTAGCAGCGCAACAACAACAGTAACAACAACATCGACGACAACAGCAGCAACATGCACGTACTTTAGTCATAATGATATCAATGATGCCTCGGAAATTTCGCGCATATTGCAGACGTGCCACAATGGCAACAACAACAGCAGCAGTATCAACAACAGCAGCCTCATCATCAGCGGCAGCAGCAACAGCAGCAATAACTCTGGCAGCACTTTAAATGGCAACGCCAGCGATGCCAATGGACACGACTTGAATTTGGACATGGAGATGGGCAATAGCTTTGATGCACTCAAACGCACAGCTGGCGGCAGTAGTCCCTCAACAGTTGGCAGCAGTCCGCATTTTTACTGGGGCAGCGGCCTTATCCATCATAACAGCAGCAGCAACACCACCACCACCACCAACAACAACAACAGCAGCATCAGCAATAACAGCAGCAACAACAGCAACAGCACCAATAACAACAGCAGCAACATCAGCACTCAGCATAGAAACCACAACAACAGCAGCCCCAAACTTGAGCTGAAAGCATCACCAACGCACAGCAATCACAGCAGCAGCAGCAATAGCAGCAGCAGCAACAATAACAACAACAATGTCGACCCCCTGAACTCAGTGGAGTGTGAATTGAGCGAAGAGCAGCGAGAAGCGGCACGCCAGCATAATATTGATTTGCGTTTGAAAATCTTTCGTGATATTCGGCGACCGGGTCGGGATTATACACAGCTGTTGGAGCATTTGAATTTGATAAAGGGCGATCAGGATATGAAATCGGATTTTATTGAGATGTGCATCAGTGAATCGATGCGGTTTCGGCGGCATCAGATGGTGTACAGCATACAGGAGTGGTGGGAGAGCAAGCAGCCGCATTTGGAGATCACAAAGAGTTAACGTTGGCTAATTTGGAATTGAGCGTGCAACAAGCAGCAGCCACATGCAACATGTCTGTGATGTCAACAAACAACAACAACAAGAACAGCAGCAGCAGCAGTAAACTGAACATCAGCGATTAGGTTAAGAGTTGATATATTGTAGTTGAGCACGCCAGGCCAAACCAGAAAATTATATATATATATATATATATATATATATACTATATACACACACAGTAGTCGCTCGCTAATTTTGATTGCTTTGATTCCCGATTCGAATTTTAATAGCCAAGTCCCTTTTTGCAATTGCTAATTACTTTTTCAAAAACAACTACCGAGTTCCCGTTTAGATCAGGAGAAAAATCCAAATTAAAAGTAAATTCCCTTAGGTAATATAAAATGAATAATAATTATAATAATAACAATAATTATGAAAAAAATAATACTTATATTTAATTGAATCCATAGAACAATATCGTAAACTTTGTCAAAACTCTCGCTCTTTGTTTAAAAGTGCCTAGAAAGAAGAGAGAACAAAATGTAAATTTACATATGTGAAAGTCCCTTTTATAAATTATATGTGTGTTTAGTGCAATTTGTGAAAATTTATTTTTCTAACGCAATGGCTTTTCTTAAGTTTTAAAAGTGCTAAAGTATTGAAAGTTCGTAAAAGTGAACACTTTAGATTTTAATTACTGGCAGTTTCTGTTTACGAGCGACCAACTGTTGTTATACAAACATATCTCGTCAATTTCCAAAATTAATTGAAAACACACGCAGACACACACAGACACACACAGACACACACACACACACACACACACACACACATTTACGCACATACAAAAACACACGCACTAATGTAAATAACTAAATAATTGAAATTGTCGAGAAAAATTATTGGGGTTTTTATTTAAATAGTGATTTTTTTTTTTTTTTTTTTTTTGTAGGGTTTGTATAGGGGCTGTATTTATGTAGTTTTTAAGTATTAAAAAATATATATATATATGAACTTAAATTTAAGCAAAAAAGTTTAACATAAATATTAAAATAATTATACCGCGAATTAGCTACATTACGTGTAAAGTTAAATAAAAAAAATAAATAAAATATAAAAAAAATGAACAATTTGTAGCGTAGAGTTTATATACATAGTTGTTAGTTTGTTTAGTTTAAACTGTATTAGCCAAGTAAGCATAAAACACTTGAGTTCGCAAGCCTGCTATTGAAAAAAAAAAACGAAGTCTGCATATATATATATATTTGTATATGTATTTATATTTAAAGGCTTAATATTATGAAAACAAATCACATCTAATGTTTATTTTAATTAATTAAAAACAACCATTTTTTCTATTGTAATATTGAGTTAAATTTTTTGTAAAGCCTTGAGCTGTACAATATAGTTTGTAACCGATTTGAATCAATTAACCACAGCTCGATTTGTTGGGCGTCAGGTTTTAATTATTAGGTTAATGGTTTCGTCTTTTTAAGTGATCTTCAATTTTGTTGCATTCAGCTAGAATTGTCGTAACTATTGATCTAAGCAACTGTTTTAGACGAACATTTTTTTTAACATACTTTTTTCTAATTACGTCAAGTATGATTCTAAGTTTTAGCTTTTATATACACAATAATTTCGCAGCTTACATGTCATATGAAATGCTGTTCCACCCATAGAAACAAAAACAACACACACAAATCATGCATACATATATATATATATATATATATATATACAAGCATACAGTACATATATACATACATATGACGAGAGAAAAAGAAAATCTGTTTTAAAACGTGAATGTTTGTTGTCGATACCTTTATTTATATATTGATTTAGGCGTTTTAGCACACTGTACATAGTCAGGACTAGAGCGAGACTAGAGTTACCGTTATAACGTTTGCGTGTGAGTGCTCGTCTATTTTTGTGTGAGTAAGTGTGGCAATTGCTATTTTGTTTGTGCTTAATCATATTTAATTATTTAAATATATATATATATATCTTATCCAATCGAACTCATAAGCAAGACCCAAGACAACGAATACCAGAAACAACCACAACAACAAAACAAAAAAAAAAAAACAGCAGCTCCAAATGTAGCCGCAAATTTAAATAAAAGAAAAAGCATTGCTTACAATTTATTTTTGGTGTGTGCCATTTGCCATTTGCCTTCTTCTCCATATCAATGAAATGACTGAATTTCCTTCTTCCTCTCCCTTTCCTCTTTTCCTGCCTCCAAATACACACCCACACAGACTTACAGACATATACACACACACACACACTGACACCAAATGTTACATTACGCGCCTGCCACGAATGCCATGCCCCCATTTTTGGGGGCTGCGCCGCAGCAGTGACGCCCATGTATGCTATGAATGTGCCCCTGTGTATGCACAGTCCCACACCCCCACCCTCACCACACGCTCTTTTCCCCTTGACACACCCACACCCTTATTATATATAAGTTGGTCAAAAAATAGGTTAATATTTGCATAACAGTCTTACTTTTTATTTGAAATGTAACCTAAAGAAAGTTGCCAAAAGCATTTTTATATATTTTTATATGCCCGTTATCGGTTGCCTTTTGGTTGATTTTCCTTGATTTGAAATAGTTAGGAACTTATTATATTGTCATTCCTTCAGATTTAAATACTTATCCAAACATACGGTTTGATATTCAATTAGGTTGAGCAAATACTCAAAGTTTTTTAAAGTGACTTAAAAGATACAATTATTGGGGTTATTTTTGTGCAAAAATTGAAATTTTAAACCAAATATACCGGCTACAATTCACTAAAGTCGCTGACAAGCAGCCAGCTGATTGCAATCGATAACTGGTTCATTAGTGTTGAACAGTGCTATACAGGCATTTACAGGCAATAGAACACTTTAACTAGCTGAATAAAGTTAAAATTTAAGTAAAATTCAATGCTTGTTTCTAATAACATTTCAAGATTTCATAATATAGAAGGTTTGCTAAAATTTTGCCATTTTAAATGTGCGTTATAGCGTTGCCACTTGGTCAGAATTGCAGCGCTCTTGTAAAATGAGCAGCTAAGAAGAAGCAGCTCATTTTGTGTGAGTCTGGTTCACTGAACGCTGAACAACCTAATGGACACATCCAACACTAGCGCCTAGCAGTTGTTGGGTGAGTGGCAAAGGCAAAGGCAAATGCAAAAGCAAAAGTGAATTTCGAGAATCCGAAGCAGCAATATGCAAAATTAATGTGCGCTACGCACGTTGTTTGCCGTTAACGTTAACGCAATGCAAGCCACATCCACTGCGATCGCAAGCGCATAACACATAAGTTCACTTATCACACGCATCTCGATTTGGAGTTTGGAGTTGCTGCGATTCGCAAGTCTGTATATTTATTTTTCTGTGTGTTAGTTTGCGGAAAGTAAAAGTGGCTACCGCTGCCACTGCCTCTGTCGCCGCCTACCCCTGCCGCTGCCTGCCTATGTATTTGTGTTTGTAACACATATTTGCACATATATGCATGTTTCGGTGGATGTGTGTGTGTGTGGTTGTGTGTGCGCGCGCGAATGTTTGAGTGTCAAAAGAAGTTGCAAAAATACAAAAGTTACGCAAAAGCACAGTTAAGTTGTGTAAAATCATAATCATAACAAAAACAAAAACAACAACATCAGCAGCAGCAGCAGTAGCGTCGTGTGTGTGTGTGTGTGAGCTTACCGGGCGGGCGCAGCAATGAGCGAGAATAACGGCACAATCACAGCTGCCAATGGACCGCGCGTCGTTACCATCTACAAGACGGAAACTGGCTTCGGTTTCAATGTGCGCGGACAGGTGTCCGAGGGCGGCCAATTGCGTTCGATTAACGGTGAATTGTACGCCCCCCTACAGCACGTTAGCGCTGTGCTTGAGAACGGCGCCGCCGAGAAGGCGGGCATCAAAAAGGGTGATCGCATACTCGAGGTGTAAGTAGTGTTCAGCAATATTTAAAAAAAAAAACAACAAAAATATTTGACAAAAAAAGGAATCTTTTGAGGCTTCATGTTTGACCTGTTTGCCATGCCATGCCATGCCGCATGCCCCGCCCTGTCCTGCACCGTAATGCCAGCGAGCAGCGCACGAGAGAAACAGAGAGCGAGCGAGTCTAGCACAGAGTTGAACGCGTGTCGTGAATTTTATTGCGTGACACACCAAACAAGCACATTTTGTTTTTGTACATAAAAATACAGCAACAAATATTAATTATTCATTTGAAGCTACAACTAAACCAAGTTGCTTAAACAGATTAATGTATTCCAATAATTTATTCATCGTGCGTGATTCGTGCTGATGTTACCGATACCATGTGCCCATCTCTAGTCAAGCCCACCCACTGAACGTCACTCCACTCGAAATGGACTTAAAACTACGGCTTTGAAGTCCTGGAATCAGTAAAGTTTGTGTTTGCTTGTTTGTCTGTTTGACTGCGTGTGTGTGTGTGTGAGAGAGAGAGAGACAGACAGAGGGCTGTTAGTGAACTTTGGCATAATCATAAATAATATCTGGTAACTGTGTTTGCTGGCGCTTCTTCTGTTCGTTTTGTTTTTGTTATGGCGTAATATTTATGCCATTGTTTGGCCACACTCACATTCACACTTTCTTTGTACGAACACACACACGCACACAGACACACCACGCAGAGCAAGCTAATTAAAATGACCCCCCTCCACGGCACCCCCCTTGTACCCTTTTGCTAGCTGTCATTCAAGCGCTCACTTTTTATGCTCTCACCTAACGGGCGAATTTTATCTCTTTCTCTCTCTCTCTCTGTCTGTCGCTCGTTCGCTCGCTGTCAGACATGTGTCTGGTCTTCGTTAAGCTTTTGTTTTGTATCTTTGACATTTTCGCAGCACTGCCAAATGCTTTACTCCACTCTCCCCTCCCCAAAGTCCATTTTGTTAATGCAAGCAAGTTGAATATTATTGAGTTTTGTTGTGGGCGACAATGCAGTGATAACCTTTGCCTTCTCTAACGTCCTCCACACTTTTTTCTTGTCTCCCCTCTCTCTCTCTCTCTGTCTCTCTGTCTCTCTGTCTGTGTGGGGGAATATGGCAAAACTTGGGCACAAATTAAATTACAAAATTGAACAACAGTTTTGTAGCGCGACGGATAACAACTTAATTATCGTTGGCTTACCTCCTACGGAGTTGGGGGATGCCTCGCCCCAATAGCACGCGCCACCCCCTCTTGCAGACACACGCCAGAAATCAGCAAATTTTGCTGGGTTTTTATTGTTCATCATTTGATTATTAACGATCTTAAAAAGAAGAAGAAGAACAACAACAACAGGAATAACATTTATGATTATGCTGCACGTGTTAAAACAAATCAACAGCAATAAAAGCTTCACAACATACTGACACACACATCCACACACACACACACACAGTAATATATATATACACACACACAGACATACACGCACATAAAACCAGTTTATTATTTATAAGTTCTTATTTACGCAAATTTTAATATTTGCATTTAATTTGTTGGTAATTCTAAAGCTTAGTGTGTAATGCCTCATTCACGTCAAAAGTACTCTTAACAAATATCTCACAAAACATAAACGTTGAAATATTCCATATATTTAGGGAGATGGGCAATTGTTTCTTATTTCCATTGTGGTTCTTCCGACAGGAAAACGATATAATCAAGAAGGTTGTAAAGTGGATAAGGGAACATCGAACATAAAAAACGACAGTATCCTTATGTATAATAAATAAGAAATAAATGAATAACGGGAAACATTTTAGAAGTCATGGAGCTGGATTACCGAAAACATAGTCTATTAATTCCTATAGAATTCCTGTGGCATCTGTTATCAGATGGTATCATTTGGTTTCAGAGTATTTCTCAGTCGGTCGCGCCCGACTGCAACGTTCTTTCTTGTTCATTATATTTTTGAATAACAGCTTTTTTTTTTATAACTATTACTAATTAACTTTGTAAATCTATCTTTATTGATCAAACCATTTTCTAGAATGCCTGCAATTATTTCCGAATTTTTATTGTTTATTTTGAAAAACAAATCATTGTTTAATTGATTTTGTGATGTTTTATAGGGTTCTACTAGTCTTTTTATTTATTTACAATATATATATATTTATACATTTTGTACTATAAACCATATAAGTATATTGCGTATTCGGTTTCCTATCAAGTGACTCAGCTTCTGAGCTGTACCTTGATAAAAAGAAAAGCTGCTTATCTGTGCATACACACATACATGTATATGTACGAGTATAAATGTATTTATTTATAAATAACAGTTCCAGTGAGAGCAAGTTGGGGGAATTCTTTTGGTTTCCAAGTGTAATTTGAGTCTCTGCTATTTTCAAATACAACCACATTCCATATCGTTTGCTTCATTGTATATTTCAGTATTTAAACTATTAAGTATTTATATAAATATATGTATATATATACAAAAAGTTATTATATACAAGTAAGTAAATGAAATCGCTTCTGTTTACTAAACACAATGCATGTGTTTTGTATCAGCGATTCGCATCTGCACTAAACATGAAGTTAGCTGAGCAAACTTTTCCATATATATATATATATATGTATAACTGCAGATGTAACTTAGATTGGGCAGCTGGCTCAACTTTTGCCACAATTGCTAAGTAAATTTAACATTTATAATTGAATCAATTCACTGACTTTATTCGGAATAGAAATAAGTATTCAACAGTTGAAATTGAACAAATGTTAATATTGAAATATGTATAGTTATCTCTTAATATATAATATATATATATATACATATATATTCATATTTAATTCATTGGCATCTGATTGTTTAGCTCTAGTTCTCTTTCTCCTACTATTTTGAGGGGCGTTTTTCTACCGGTTGGCAACTGCCGATGCAAAGGCTTTTCACATCCGATCCGCTTATCGCTTGTGTTTAGTTTGCTCATAGCTGTAAATTTATGAATGGTAAATGCTTTTTAGTTGCTAATCGCTGCCCACAAATTGGGCCACAAATAGCCAAGCAGACGTTGCAAACCCTTCTCGGCTGGCAGTTGCAGGAATTGCAGCTGCTGTTGCAGTCTTTTGGTTGCCCAACTGGTGGGCGCTGCGTTGCATAGGCTGCCATTGCAGCGTACACAATAGGGATCGTTGGCGCTGCATTCGGGCACGTCGCCAGCACAACCACGCACCGTGTAGATCAACTCCATGCGACTGATGATGGTGCTGACGCACAGTTCCGTTGCAGCGCTGCAGTTGCTCACCTTCATGTCGTTTGGATGGAGCATCGGGGCGCAGTCGTCGGCCTGCTCCAGCGAGTTGCAGCGATAGCAACTGCGGACGGACCAACGATTGCAGTTGTCCTCATTGCGGCATAATTGGCATTCCTCTCCAGCGCCCGCCACAAAATTCACATCAGCGCAGCCGCGACGCAGTTGCGTATCTGTTGAATAAATATATATATATATATACAGTTGGGTTTACTAACAAGTGTATCAAATGTATGCAATGTACAATGTATATGCCATGAAAACGAATGAGATGTGGCAACGCTGGCACAATTCCATGATATCAGGCTGATATGGCAACGCTAAAACATTTCTTAAGTATGCCTTAAGTGTATCTTTCGGCGCCTTATGCCATAAAATCTACATAAACTTTCAAAATTCCAACAAAAAACGTATGCAGCCAAAAATTGAGAATTTTATTTATGTTTATCGAGGTGGAAATCGTTATCAAATGTCGATAGTTATCGAACTAGTTGAACTTATAGTTTTTTTTTTTTTTTAATCAGCAACGAAATTGTGCAATGTTTTGATCAATTTCATTAAGATGAAACATTAGGAATGTTCAAAAAAGTAAAGTGAAAGACTTCCAAACCAGATATTCCTACACAAACAGGGCTCGAAAAAAAAAACAAATTATCGATAAACTTCAGCGATATTTGCAATTGATCCGCAGCGCTGAGTGACTCACCCTAACCTTGCTCACAGGAATAGCAGGCCGTGGTGCCCGGAGCACAAGGTTCGCTCCTCAGTGCATGGCCGGAACGGCAATTGGGATTGCTGGTGGAGTTGCAGGTGGCACATTGTATATCTTGGCACTGGGCATTACAATTGTTGCCGTAGCACTCGTCCAGCTCGCCGGTGGGAAAGAAGCCCATTGTTGTGGAGCAGCCACGCTGAAACACTTCCGTTTGTCTGTTGCGATGCGTGTAGCAGCGTTCGAGATGCCCCAGCATCACCTTGTTGACACACTCCGTCACAGTCGCATTGCTCACGGCGCATTTGTCCGCGGATTGCGGCTGTTGCTCGCGCTGGCAATCGGCGTTGGGCGAGAGACGGTTGTGGGTGCACTGGAGGCAGTGCGACTCGGTGACAGTGCGCTCCGCATTGCAACCGTTGTAGTTGCATTTGAGGCAGACGTGCGGACAGCCAACGGGCAGATTGGTGTGCTCGCAGCCCCGCTGCGTATTACTCAAATGCAGAATGTTTGTGTAGCAGCGATCTTCGGCATGGTAAACGGGACACGGCAACAGAAGTTGCGGCCGCTCGCTGACATCGATGCAGGCGGCACCGTTGCACTGATAGCAGCGCAATCTATCCACCGGATACACGTGTCGATTGCATAGACTTGTGTCGCAACGATAACAGGGCTCCGCGCAGTAACCATTGGGATAGAGGCGCCGCAGGCAGCCGCGTCGTGTCAAACCGGCTGTTATCGAGATGACGCATTCATCATTTGGCTGTATGCACTCCTCCACCTCCAGCTGCTGACCGGGTCGTGTAGCGCATTCGGCATCCTCGGCCGAATCGCAGGCATAGCATTCCAGGCCAGTGCTCGTGTGGAGCAACTGCATCATCACCATTATGCCCAATAACAGCAGCAGCAGCAGGCGTCTCCGTTTCTCCATCTTTGCTGCTCGTTGGACAACAATAAACTGATTTTGTTCGGTTTTGGCTTTACTTCGATCCGATTTGATTCGTTTTAAGATTAGATTAGGACCTGAACCTCAAGTGGCTCAGCCACTCTGCTCCATTGTTCCATTGTTTTGCCCTGATTTCTAATATGCATGTGCATTATCGTGCTAATCGCTGCGATATATATATATATATATAGAAAACGATCAGATAATCTGCCTAATAATGGAAAGACATTTTGCTATAGCCTATGGTGTACAGGGTAAAAATGAGTATTCCAACAGGTCAAGTGCATAAAATAATATTAATAATCTATATTATTAATATTTACCATAATCCATCTATAAATATACAACATTTCTTAAATTAAATAAGTAAAAAAGTTCTTTATAAGAAATGTATAATTCGACTAGGAGAGACTATATATTTGTATATTTAACTAGAAGATACATTTGACAAATCCAATAATGCGCAGTTAGAGTTATTATATTACTTTGTAATTATGAGTTTTTTTCGATCGCTAAACGATAGCATAAAAAACAATTAATTGGGATATGCCATTATGTCCAGGGGAATCCCGTAAAACACAACAATTATATATACAAATTTATACGTGTGACACTAACCGCCCCTCCTTCCCTGCCTGCGTACGCCCACGTATATCTATAAATGAACACATATTATAATTAATCGGGGGAATACCAATAATTGTTGACTTTGAAATAGACTTGCTTTATGATAAATTCTTAAATTATACAACAATTTGGAAATTATTATAAAATGTGCACAGGTTTTTAGATATAAACATTTAAAAGTGCGGGTTCCGGATATATATATATATATATATACATATATGTATATAGAAACTGAGTTTTGTTGAGTACATTTTTGCCTTTTTGCATTTTTGAGCAAAACACAAAATGAATAAATGTGCTGTGTTTGTTTGTGTGTGTGTTTTGTGTGTGTGTGTGTGCTGTGTGTGTGCTGTGTGTGTGTGTGTGTGTGTGGGTGGTTTTCTTGCTTCTTTTGGTGCCGCCTACTGCCTTGCACATTGCTTTCATTGTTGCTGCTGCTGCACGGCTGCACTTGCCACTTAACATTGCATTGTTGTTTTCAGGGGTTGTGTGTGTGTGTGTGTGTGCATCTGCCTATGGGGGTCGAGGGGTGTTTGCTGAATGCAATGCAATCAATGAGGATTATGAACTATTTTTATTTCTTGTTGGCTCGTTAAAACATTTACGACTACAATGTCAGACAACAACAACAAAATCAACAGCAACAAAAGGAGAACGTTAAATACTAAAATCTCCGCACTATTGTTATAAACTATAAGGTTTTTTTTGTTGTTGTTGTTTTTAAGCACAAAATGCGTATGTTTTCCTATAAAAGTTTGCTTAATTGTTTTGTGCTTTAATCAGCATTCAAGTCTTCTTAGTTTTGTGAACAAAATGCATGCGAATTGTGCTGCAAACTTTGAACACAAATTGCAAAAAAAAAAAAAAGAAATGTTCAAACTGAAAGTTGATCGATTGAGCTAGCTGAATTCGATTTGGGTTGAATTTGAACAAGTCGTAATTCAATTCAGAAAACAGGCCAACTTGAAGGCGTTGAATTGTATATGTTTTTGTAATTAGTTTAGCAATGTTTTGCTGCCCAGTTTGGCAGTAAAGTCGTTAACAAGAAGGGCTTTCTGTTGTTCTCAACGGAGGTTAAGTTGTTTGCAAACTTTAAAGAATGCTAATTTGTTTTGCTATTGTTTATATGTATGGCTATATATAGAGTTAACTAGATAGATCTAGTAATATGTCAAGTCTAAGAATTTTGATATGGTTTATGGAATATGGAGGCATATACAATATAAATGGGTCATAAAAGGGAGGCTATAATGAAGTTATGTAAACGTTTTTAAACAGGCAGAAGGAAGCAGTTCCACTAAATTTCCGAGTCTATCAAGACAGAGAATTTAGCTAGAGAATTGGAATATAAGCTCTCGGTTGCCATACACAGATCAAGATTTTGTCGTTTTATCGATACAAATCGATTACAAGCAGATTGCATTTTAGTTTCTGGTTTGTGCAAAGTAGTAAAATATATTCAACAGTTAGTTTTTAGGCGAGCTCTCTCGACTCGTTGCTATAATGTTATTATATTTGAATTGTCTTTATAAACGGCTCAACTGCTGACTGTTTGTTTATTACTGCCTCTGTGGCAGGCACAACTGTGTGGCAACTCTGCTTGATCCCTGCTAACCCTTTCTAGCTGCCCGCTGAGACCTACCCCGTTGGCTGCCATACTTTTTACATGTGTATTTACATATATTACATATATATTGGAAGTAAATCAATTATTTATGCATTGCATACATTAATACATTCACAAGACCAAAAAGGGTATTCGAGCATCGATGAAGCTCGTGTTAAGTGTGTTTCAACATTTATTTTATGTTGCCACGAATTGTGTGTGTCGGTTTTACTGTTGTTGTTGTTTGTTCCATGCTCAAATTATTATTCTAGTTGTTTTGCGGCATATGCCCCAAAATAATCAATAGATTTGCGTCACTGGATGGTTGGGCTCTGACTCGAACTGTAACTGGGACACGGACAGGGACTAGGACTGGGTCTGTTAGAGGCTATGGAGTAATTTTGAAGCACCCCTCTCACCCTTACATATAGGAGCAGCCGCCCCTGTGCTGGGCAGATGAGGTTTCGAGGTTTTTGGTTTAATGGATTTAGTGTATGGCATTTGTTGGCTTGGTTTCAGGAGTTCGCCAGCAATAGATACAATGAATGTGCAACATTTGCCGCAACGCAGCATTTTACGAAAGCCAATCAAATTAAATGCCAACAATGTATGTGATGTGATGTGATGTGATGAAAGCCCCATTGCCCATTGCCCGTCAGGTAGTCAACGTCACTTCTGAAATACAAAGTCAACACTGTCCAAGGAGAGCTCACACACAAGTTGTTTGGTCACGAAAAGTCCTTCTTCGCTTCGTATAAATATAATTGAGGTAATCTTATAAATATGTAAACTGGCCTTGCTTTTAAATCGTTTTTCAATAATTTGTGTTTTCCATAGACCTGCAAATAGATATATGTATATATATATCTATATATAATTAGGCAATTTCCACAATATTCATGGCTATGCATTTTTGATTCATTGCTCAAATCAAATGTCAAATGTCTGTGTATCTACACACACACACACACACTCACACACATTCATATACGTTAATATAATTGGCTATTAAAGTGTTGTTTACTCACGCCCATTGAGCGGATAATTTGCTTGACCCATTGTTGAAGTATATAAATTTGATTGACATTACTTTTACCCTCAATTTCTTTTATTCCCCTTAGTTGCTGCCGCTAATCGGAATGTCTCTGTGTGTATGTGTGTGTGTGGGTGAGTGTGCGTGTGTGTGTGTGTGGGTATGTGTGTGCTTGCAGAGTTATTTATTTAGTTATTTTTTGTACCAAATTGTTTGACTTTGCTTTCATAGTATCTGAGATGGGCGTTTTTGCTTGAACGCACATAAATAACATCTAACGTAAATAACTTCAATTGATATCAAATTAAATAAATAATGGCATTTATACTCTGTTTTTTTTATTTTTTTTTTTACTTCAACCCATTGAAATGTGTATTTATTTTTGATCAGCAAAATCTTGTTTGTCTGTCCGATCCCAGTTAATCCCAGCTAATTTGGAATATGGGCTTTCGTATACCAATCACAGATCAAGTTTGATCGATAACTTTCTGCTTTCTGTTTCCTCATTATCGATATGAAACTGATTACCGATAACAGCATTGTTGTGGCACTTCATGCACTGAGCTTCTCTATTCTATTCTATTCTTCTATTGATCAATAGCTCATCCATCTCAATCCTGATTCTTGCACGAATTCACGCGTTTTTTATCGTGTTGAGGATTTCCTTGCACCTTCTTCCGACATGCTGTGCTTTGAGTATTCCTCCCCATTGTCACAAAATCGACGAATTCCGTCACTGATTGTGTATTATACATAGTTTAGTTAGTTGACCTCTTAGTTCAGAGAGACCGATGAGTATTCCAAGTCTATTCTTTGCCTAAATTGTTTGGCCTGTCTCCGACCTGGAAACTCAACAACAATTACGCTGATTTGTAGCTTCAAAACTTATCGACCAAGTACAGGGTATCGACCAGTTCGAACTTGTGTTATTTTTGTTTGGCTTTATCGATCTGTTTAAGTTGTAGTTATGCCGAGATGGAGCCAACTCCTAATAGTTATTAATAATTAATGCACATGTGTTTGAGAGCGCATGTTTTGCGTGTTTTTTGCAGTCGGAGGCGGGCCGGGCCGGGCCGGGTTCGCGGGTGTGCCGCAAATGCAAATTGTGGACTACTCAAGAAGTGTGCGAAGGAACAGCAATAATAAACCAAGGTGAAATTCAGAATAACAAATGGACAGCAAAGCAATAAACAAAAAAAAAAAAAAAAAGAAATAAGAAATTAACAACTAGTCAGAATACTATGTGTGATTACTTATCCAGGGGCTAGTGACTGGCAGATACCCTGTACATGTAGCTAGAAAATGATTATCAAATAGTTTGATTTCACTTTAGGCTTTTATTATTACTATTACACCGATTTCAATTAGTTCATAATCAGATCAATGCGCATGGAAAATAAGATAGTAGCAACAGTGTAAAATAATTAACAATTTATTGGTTATAGTGTATTTAAATATAAGTTTAAAATGCCATTGGATTCAATTTATTATCGACATTTTGGTTTTATGATTAGTCGAAACATAAATACGTCTTTGGTTTATTTCGCAGAGATACCAAATCGAGGAATGCTTCGATGACACATAAAATCCAAGAATGAGAACAATCTTTTCTGTAAAAACAGGTCGTTTTATGTTTTTTCTATGCAACTTAATTGATTTTATAGAAATCCAGCTTAGATGAGTTACAGCTATACTTTTCAGATACCAGATATATATATATATATATATATATATAAATTGATATTCGCGAACCGGTAGCAGTCATCGAATAAATGAAATAAATTTGATTTGTGTTTGGTAAACGAGAATCTATATTCCATGCTTCAAGTCTCTGGCTCTTATCGTCTTCATACATATGAAGATGGCTAAATCGAGTTGGGTCGTTAATACCGATCAGATATATAATATAATATATATCCGGTATTCTCGGGTCGCAGTCGCTTCCTTGTTACGCATTTGAAATGGGTAAATGCAGCGCCATTCTTGCCTCTCTTTTGGCATTCAGCAACTGAAACTGGTTTTCTGTCAACGTCAACTCTTGGCTTGGGTTTCAATCTCAGCTTAGAGCTTGTCTCTTGCACTCTGTGCGCCGCCTCGCATATGGTATATAATAACACACAGATAAATGATAAGTCTGTGTATATCTGTTTAGCTGTTGGATTTGGGATTTTGGCTCCTTTCCCTACAACAAGCAGCTCGAAAACTGCAAATTCCTTGTGCAAAATGTTACTTGGGTTGCCACTCGAATTGAATTAAAGTGCTGATAAAGTAATCGATCTCTCTGTTGCTTTAGGAAGCTTTAGCTGCTATCTTTCCTTAACTAGAGCTGACTTTTTATACTCCTCTAGCGTTAAGTTTGACTGACAGCCAGATGACAAAGCCCAATCAAAGAGTATCTATTATTCTCATATCATTTATGGCGCACACACGTTAAATATGCATGTTAGCTAGACTTCAATATGTGAGTCATGTTATTTTGTTTGTTATTTTGTGTTGCTGTTGTAGTTGTAGTTGTTGTTGTTGTTGTTGTCCCTGTGCGTCACCAGCGACATGACAAGAAGCGATATCTGCGATTTACTTATTTGTGCTGCGGTGGCAAAAGTCAAACCGGAAAGACGCACACACAAACACACACACACACACACACAGATAGAGCGAGTCTTGCAGCAAAATCAGCAATGACAATGCCTAAGAAGACCTCGAAGCGTCCATTGTTGGCCCAATTGGTGGCCAAAGGTAGCCGGCCAGGAAGCCAACAACAAGCAGCAGCAGCAACCCGTCCAATAATCAATTTAATTTGCTGAAACCAAAACTTGGTCACAAATGCATCGTAACGAAAAAGCATTGGAGCTGTAAGCAGTTGAATGAATGAAGTGCAAATCAAATTTGTTGGTAAGGCAAGACCTACAAGCGAAATTGGCACACACCTGTTAAGATTGATCGCTGTGACGTCACGTGGGTTGGCGTTGCCAGACATCGATTTTAGATTCTTCAATTCATCAGACGTCTTTTGTAGACAATCAGTTCAATTCAATTGTAAAGTGTGTACACAATTCGAATTCGAATTCGAATTCGAATTGAAAACGCCGATTAGTAATTGCTATAATTAATTGCAAATATGGAATATAAGTTTACTTGCCCCATTAAAAATTGTATTGAACAACAACAACAATTGAATCGAGTTTATCATAAACAAATTCGACTTGACCCGAATCGAATCGAATCGTTTGTCTGTAGATTGACTACTGGCCTGTTTGCTGTGCTTATCAGCTATCAGCGCCACAAGTGCCACAAGGTGATCCAAGCAATCACTCTGATCCTCTTTCTCACTCGCTCCCACTCGCTCTGACCTGATCTGACCATCTCATTGGCTCTGTTTCTGTTTCTGTTTCTGTTTCTGTTTCACTGTTGTGTCTCTTGTTAAATTGCACAGCGCACCAAGAGCAGCCTCTCATTTGGAGACGGGTAATCGCAGTGACAACTCCTCCGGTCTACTTATTGTTGTTGTTGTTGCACTTATTGATCCTCAATAATGCTGCCCTTTCATGGGGTGCCCTTTGCCCATCTCAGCGCCATGGAGCGTCGCTGCTTGCGGTGCGTGGCTACAGGCTACAGGCTGCCCCTAATTGAAAATATATTTTTATTATAATTAATTATAAATTTTCATACATTTGTTACTTGTGCAGCAATGGCGTCAGCGTGGAGGGTGCCACACACAAGCAGGTGGTGGATCTGATCAAATCTGGTGGGGATTGCTTGACCCTAACGGTGATATCTGTGACACAGCAGGAAGCCGATAGACTGGAGCCGCAGGAGGATCAAAGCGGCTACTCCTACATTGACTACTCCGACAAGCGCTCCTTGCCCATTAGGTGAGTTGACACTCTATACTAAATACAAACGCGCATTAATCAATAAATGAATCATCCTTGCAGCATACCCGACTACACCATTGTGAATCGGAATGGGGAACGTTACATTGTGTTCAACATCCATATGGCCGGACGGCAGCTGTGCTCGCGTCGATATCGAGAATTTGCCAATTTGCATTCGCTGCTCCGCAAGGAGTTTAGCGGCTTCAATTTTCCCAAGCTGCCCGGCAAGTGGCCATTCCAACTGAGCGAACAGCAGTTGGACACACGTCGACGTGGCCTCGAACAGTATCTGGAGAAGGTGTGCGCTGTGCGTGTCATCGCTGAGAGCGATGCGGTCCAGGATTTTCTAACCGATACCGAAGATGATATATCCGCATCGCCAGTGGACATTAAGGTGATGCTGCCCGATCATGAGGTCACCAGCGTATCGGTGAAGAAATCATCCAATGCTCAGGTCGTCTGGGAGATACTGGTGCAGCGCGCCAATCTCACAGCGTACACGCAACAATATTTCTATCTGTTCGAAATAGTCGAATACAATTTTGAGCGCAAGCTGCAGCCGCACGAGATACCCCATCAACTGTATGTTCAGAATTATAGTACCGCCTCCTCGACATGCCTCTGTGTGCGACGCTGGCTCTTCTCCGTTGGCAAGGAGCTGACGCTGCCCGATGGCGAGCAGGCGGCACGGTTCATCTTCTATCAGGCCGTCGATGAGGTGAATCGCGGCAATATCAGAGCCGATGGCCGACTCTATGAACTGAAAGCGCTGCAGGATGCCAAAAAGGCCAACGACTATTTGGCATTGGCACGCACACTGCCCGGCTACGGTGATGTTGTCTTTCCACACTGCTCCTGTGATAGTCGCAAGGATGGTCATGTTGTACCCGCCGTGGGTGAGTTTCTCTCTATCTCGCTCTCTCTCTCTCTCTCTCTACACATATTGCAATTAGTTAGCTAATCGATGCTTGTCTCTTTCATATTGTGCAGGAATGAAGAGCTTTCGTCTGCACGCCTGCCGCGAGGACGGCTCGCTGGAGGCGCAAATGGTCGAGCTAACATGGGATAGCATAACGCACTCCGAAAGCGATGAGGAGTCCATGTCATTTTGCTTTCAGTACAATCGTCCAGATAAGCCAGCACGTTGGGTCAAAGTCTACACGCCATATGTAATTAAATATATTTGCATATATATATTTATATATATAGCTTAGCCCCACTGTTATACTGTTCTACTGGTTTACTTACATTTTTTACAACTTTTGCTTTTAGCACGCATTTCTTGCGGACTGCTTTGATCGGATAATGGAGGAGCGCAAATGGGAAGACAGCGGTGATTAAGATGCACTCTTGCAACAGGCTCATTAACCGCATTATATATGTATATATATATATTGCAATCTAATCATCTCAACAACATCACAGCGAACGACCCAATACAGTCTTACACACACAAACACACACACACACATTAAATACACGCAAATTTTGAGTTTTGATTTATTGTTTATCCAAATTTCCTGTGTTATTTATCAACCTATTCACATACATAACTTTTGTGTTGTGTTTTGTTGTGCGGTCAACTCAAAAGTCGTATGCCTCTTTTTGTAACCGGGTCCGTTTCCGCTTCTGTAACCGTTTCGGCATAAATTTAAGCAACACAAGAACACCCATTTGGCACAGATAGATAAAGCTACAACATACACAATGCCCAGACCCCCACATACATATTAAAATTTAAGTGCTATATCTTATGTATATTGTAAAATATATTAACTATGATATTTGTAAATGATGCGATTGATTATATATACATATATACACATACATATAGGGACAGGCAATGGGTTCAACAACAATACAAACAATAGAAATTAATAAAAATAAAAAATCAAAAGCATAAAAAATGAAATAATGTTAACAGCAGCAACAAAATGTTTCAAAATTATAAGCAACATGAACACATGAATAACCATCACCTAAAATGAACACATACAAAGCAAAGCACCAATTAAGCAAACATATATATATATATATATATATATCCATATATATATACAACAAAGTGAAAATGACGATTCTCATTAACAAAATATTTAAAAAGAACAAAAAAAAAACGAAACATGAAACGTAAACAATTTGATTATAAATAATACCGTGTATATTACACTTATACACATACATATACATATAAATGAATACTACATATATATATATATATATATATATATACATATATACATATATATATAATATTCCTTTTTTTTGGTTCACTCATGCATCAGTAGTAGAAATGACAGTAATAGAAAATACACAAAGCTGCTAATAATGTAAAAAGTCAATTTTAACTTTACATAAATGTGTATGAAATAGAACGAACTTTATATATATATATGTATGTGTAAACGTAAACAATAAATGTGAGTATATACATTTCAATTGTCTGAAGAAACCATTGGTATATATAGCAGTACACTCAATTTAAGCGTTAAGCGTTACACAAAACATCAATGCAAGAAAACCAAGTTGAAAATATGTACTCATTATAATTTTTCTAATCGAAAAATGTTAGTTACACTTAAGAGCTGTTTATAACTAGTTATTGAATCGAAAGTGCGAAAATTCACAAACCAAGGCAATTGCGTGTGTGTAGAGAGGAATGTGTGTGTGTGTGTGTAAGTGTGTAAAAGATCTAAGATTTATTTTTTTTTAATTATATAATTATTTTGAAACAATACAATCGGCAAAATATAGTAATAATTAGTTTAGGCTTAAGTAAAAAAAACCAAGTTTTTTTCAATGTCAATCTTAGTGAAAGCTTAACACACACACACACATACATACACACACACACACACACACATGCAACACACACAAATTCGCACGCATTGCATGCAAAATTGTATGAAAAACAGAAGCAACAAACACTTTATTAAGCAGTACAACACAAACACATAGACACATATATACACACACACACACACGCATAACTATATTTATACACACACACACTCACACATGCATATACATATATGTATATGTATATATACATATACACATATTTACATTTATCAACGATGCAAGTGACGTCTGCTTGTGATATTTACAATTTACACAATTATTATTATTACCAATATGATTATTATTATGTATGGTTTTTTTTTTCTTTGTCTTATTGTATTGTCATAATTATATTTATTCAATATGTATGTAACTTAATATATAGCGCTGTATATTGTCATGTATGTATATGAACAGTGTCTCAAAACCACAACAAAAAATGTCACTCAATCTATTTGCGTATCTCACGGATACAAAGCGTCACTGCAGCTGTATAGACAACAAAAAAGCTAAGAAAAGAAAGTTAAAAAAAAATACAAAAATTCAAAAAGAAAAAAACAAAAACAAAAACAGAACAGTTAGCACTCTTGTAGACGCATTGCTCTTTGGCCATTTACTGTAGCAAACGTTTTACGTTTTTAGTTTGTATATCTCACTAAATGTATTCCATAAATATGATACGTATATGTTTATTATATTATGTACTCCATAAATGTTAAATATGAAAAGAACAAAAAATGATGTAAAACTGCTCTGCCTTCTACAATTCTACACATTTCTATTGTTTTGATTCGACTGTTTTCTTTCTGTGTGTAGCAAACTGCAATGAACAAAAAACAAAAATAAAAGTAAAAAATGTTAACATATTTTACTAATAAGCAAATCATTTGTAATAATATTTGTACTGTCTGAAAAGTAAACAACTTCAAAAACAGCAACAAACATAATATAAGCATATAACTATTTCTTATAATTAAAAAATGCAAAAACGTAAAAACTTCATGAAAAATTAATATTAAAATGCAAATAAAACAGAAACAAAAAAAAACAAAAAAGAAAAGACATTCCTCAGAAAACGTGACGAAAACTTCAAAAATTAAATTGAATATCAATGTTTTCTTACATATTTAATATACATACACAAATCGAAAACATGAATAAATTAAAAAATTTAAAAAATATGCGCCTAATTCAGCAATAAACAAGTTTAACAAACAACAAACGAATCGCAAGCAACAACCTTGTGTGCGTTCCATATAAAGAGTAACTACTGTACAGTGTACAGTAGACACAGTGCAGGCGACTCAAATGTAAAGTAAATCCACAACTAAAGCAAAACGAACAACAAATCAAAGTAATTGAAACAAAATACAAATACAAGCCAACTAAAAATGAAAGGAAGAACAAAATTACCAATTTATTGAAAATAAAAATTGCATTTTTTCCCCTTTTAAAAAAAGAAAAAAAAAACAAAAAAATTACAATAAAATGTGTAAATTGCTGTTTTATTTTGGGAGTTTTTTTTTTTGTTGTTTTTTTTTTGTCTTGCTGTGCGTCACATTCGTAAACGTTTTGTTGCACAATTGCACAACAATTGCTGTTTATATGTGTCGAATTTTGTGAGTTGTTGACCCCTCCTCTTTGCCCGTTGTTCGTAAACGTTTCGTTTTGTTGGTCGTCGTTCTTTTGGGCATCTGCTGCCGCCGACACCTGTATAAATCGATTAGCTGAGCCAAATTGAATGTCATAATCATTATTTAATATGTACAGCTAGTTCTGAATCGAATGTAAATTTCAGAGACAGAGGGAGAGATAGAGGAACAGTGTGAGAGAGAGAGAGAGAGAGAGACAGTCTTAAAAATGATTTGTATGTGTATCGTGCGTTTTCATTTCACGCGCTGATCTCCAAAAGAATCTCCATACTTCGTGACAGACCCTAGACCCATAAAGTCTGTACGTGAATTTCCATTTCCTATCCAATTCATATCAATTCACGGAGTGTGTTCGTGTGAAGAGCTGCTTGAAAATTGTCTGGACATAAAACTGCGAATTAGTTTGATTGCGCTAATCAACTTATCGATTTGTATTGGTTGGCTGTTGGGGTACGGGGGCAGATTCTGGGCAACACTTGCTCATTATTTCAAAGGAAATTCGGTATATAGGATGTAACCATTAACCAAGTGCGCAGAACTTGAATGCAGTACAAATCGAAAAGTCAAACCATGATCAAAGAGAGAAGTTATTTTTCACGCTAGACTAGAAGGCCGTTGTATATTGTTTTGTAATTTAATTTTTATTTTCACTAATTTTTCGCAACATTTCATCATTATTTAGTTATACATACATAGTTTCTCATAATTTTTACATCATTTTTGTCTTTTTTTTTTAGTTTTCTGAATACGTTTTTTTGTTTTTTTTGTTTGTTTTTTTGCTTTCATTTGCTACAACTTGAACAACTTTAAACTTTTTACAGCATTTCATTAAGTTTTGCTTTTGTTATACATATTATTGGTAGCACATACATACATACATACATACATACATAGAGTTTTAAGTATCTCTATAGAATAGAATCGTGTATGACGAAGAACGAGGAGTGAAGGACGATGTGGGCATGGCGACGGCCCTGATGCAGCATGCAGCCCAAGGAGAAACCATGAACATTCTCTCAACTATGTCTATGTACAGCGATTTGAAACTCGGCTTACGATTTAGGCTTGGATCAAGAACAGTTATCTAGCATATGGTACTTTATAAGCATTTTATTACATATTATTGTTTTGTGGTTTATTCTGCCATGACAATCGCAGTGGGGAACGTAAAAATTGAAATGGAAATGAAAAACCAAACAAAACCAAGGCAAACAAACAAAATGGGCAGTGTGTGTCTACCTGTGCCTGGCTACCAACCTTTGACGGGTTTTTAAACATGCACAAAGCTTGAATTGGGGTTCGGTTTCGGTTTTATTACATATTATTCACATTCACATAATGGTAATAATGTAAATATATATTGCTTTGGAGACGGCAAGCTTACGGGATCTAGTTCGGCTCGCGTCCAAATGGTTGTTTGTGATAATCGCGAATAAATATATATTTATATAGAGTGTATTATACAGATTTGCGTAATGCATTCGAAACAAAACAAATGGAAAATGAAATAAATCCTAATAAACATTGCTTCCTGATCAATACAAACGAATATATATAAATATATTTTTATATATATATGCTAAGCACATTTGTTCAAAAACTAGAGAAAATTGAAAAAAAAAAAATGTGTGTTTAAAAATAGTTTAAAAATCACTACATCTACCTAGGGTGCCTACATAGCACATACAAATATACATACAGAAGGGGTACAGGGAGGTACAGGAAGCGGGACAAATTTTGTTCCTGGCTATGTTAGCTGTGTGTGTGTGTGGCTGTGTGTGTGTGACTGTGTGTGTGTATTATATTATATTCTATTGCGATTATTTATTTGATGGGTTTTAACTGGGAAACTGTCAAACGGAAATTAATGTTGATAACACGAAGATCCAGCGTTGCGAATAAATTCACAAACTATCTTTTTATTTATTTATTTATTTTGTTTTGTTTTTTTTTTTTTCATTTTTTCATTTTTTTTCTTTTTTTGTTTTGTTTTGTTTTTTCTGTATTTATAATCAGCAACTCTCAATTCTGTGTGAATGTGTGTGTTGTGTGTGTTGCGTGTGTTGCGTGTGTGTCTGCTCGATTAGAGTAGAGTTGCTGCTCAACACGAAGAGAAAAAATGTATATATGCATATATATATATATATTTCATATAGTATAGTTTAATATAACTTCACTTATTCTGTATTATCTTGTTTTGCCACAACTTGCGCAACTGCATTACGGGTTTATTTGACGGTATTTACTTTACGTTATTCTCGATTGTTGCAACGGTGTTTATCAACTCAATTTGCTCCTTGTACGCCTCCCTCCAATATTCTGGTGCCTCTATGTGTAGTTGTTGTTGTTGTTGTTTTTCTTGTTGTTGTTATTATTATTATTGTTGTTGTAGTTGTTGTTACAATATTTATTATTGTTAGATTTACTCTGTTTACATTTTGTTGCTAGCAGTTAATGCTTACTGCTTACTGCTTACTGCTAGCCGCTAGTTGCTGCTGCTAAACGCCAAATTGCTAGTTACACACACGATTTCGCATCACCTTAGTTATCCAGCCAGGACTCGCGTCATTCTGTATAATCCCACCAATCCTTTTCATAGCCTTCGTGCACATGATTGAGCAGTACTGTGCATCTCTTCTCACAATATCTACAAAAATGCAAAACACATAAATTGAATCCATATCTAACAGATATATATATATATATATATATATATATATATGTATATAGTAGGTATATACCTATATTTATCCTGGACTTTCTGTTTAATATCAGCCAGATTCTCGGATGTAATATCACGTTCCAAGTACTCGGATAGCTTTTCTGTTGCCGACTCCAGATCCTTCTGATTATCCTCGAATATCATGGATTGATTGTTCTTTTTCAAGTAATACGCAAAGACGTATGTGTACATAAGAGTCTGGCGACATTGGCAGAGTATATCGACAGCCTTTTTCAGGAATTGCACCTGCCAAACGAATACCAAAAGGAAAAAGAGAAAGTTGAATTTATGATTATTACACGTTTGCTGGCATCTCAGCCGCTCTCAGACGCACCTCGATCCAGGACATGTTGTGCTGTTGCATCTCCTCCATTTTCTGTTTGACAGAGGCATACAATTTGTTCTCAAACTTCATGGACTGCATGTGATTCATGTAGCGATTGTAATAATGTAGATATCTGCAATCAAAGCAAACCAAAACAGTTTCAGCATCAATTTTGTCAATAACAATGAATGTGACACTTACCGGGCCAGAGAGGAGCGAAGTTTCTCCTGTGCATCGCGAGCAGCCTTCGCCTCGTCCTCGTCGTAGCGATTGCAATTATACCAGGATGAGCCGTGCGGCTCCCAGGAGCCGAGGCACACCCAACAGAAATCATGCTTGCAGTTTTGATTCTTGCATACCATGTGATTGCAGCCGCCATCCTTCTCGATGGTCACACTGCATCTGGGACACTCTTTGGTATTGGCCGCAATCCAATTGGACGTCTCCGAATCATCGTCACACTTCTTGATCCATTTCTTTAGCCAGCGGCACTGCACCGGATCGTGCCAGTTCTCGCCGCAGGCAAAACAAAATACATGGCCGCATTTGCAGTGGACGCGACGCGATTCCGCATACGGCACTTTAACCGCATACGTGCAATCGACGGACGGACACCAGCGCAACAGCTGATTGCATTCCACAAAGCTATTGGTGATCAGCTGCTGGTATTTAACCTTAACCCGCAAATCTTGCACCAACTTGGTAACGGTCACATCATCAACCAATATATCACAGCCGTGCGCCGCACACGATATGGTCTGCCCGAGGCACTCTGTAACGATTTTCGTTGTCAGATACTCGCGCCAGCAATTCAGGCAAAAACGATGACCGCACTCCAATCCAGTCATGGCCTAAAGCAGTAATATAATATCGTATTATATGTATATAATATATGTATGTCAGTTTTAGTTCAATTCTGTTCACTTACATCTGGCGGCAACACTGAGAAGCAAATCTCGCACTCTTCACACTGGCTCCGTGTCGTCTACATGGAATAAATGCGAGATTAAGATTTACAGAGATTATATATATATATATATGTGAAATGATATTATTGTACCTTTAGCTGCACCGCCTCGGTTGGCTTATTAAATGGATTTATGACGTGAGCGCTTTTAAAGAACTCTTCCGTATTATCATCGCTGCCATCGAAGTACTTCTCCAGCAGCTTCTCCTTGTCCCACTTGAAGTGATTCAGCAGTATTCGTGTTTTGGGCGTGTATAGCTGCGTCAGCATCATCATACATCATCAGCAGAGACAAAGCAAAAGGAGAAATCACACATTAATAAACGATTATTATTTATATATATATATACAAACATATATGTAAAATTGAAGAAAATACATCAATGGATACAAAGTAATATATATTGTAGAAACAAATCGATCTGACTGACTGACTGAGTGAGTGTGATCAGTCCATAGGTTAACTTTCTCGATCAGGGAAAATCGAGGAAAGCCATTGTTTCAATTGGAATCGTTGATTAAAGCTGTATGAATAGAATTTCAGATTGCAGTTTGTTGATAGATGTCATTAAACTGTGCTGACTTCAATTTGGCTAAGATTGAGTACAGACACAGAGAGACAGAGAGAGAAAGAGAGAGAGAGAGAAAGAGAGAGAGAGACACACACACACACAAGCAATATCTTATGAGTCAACTGTCTCTCTCTCTCTCTCTCCCTCTTTCTCTTAAGACGAGCAGCTGTCCATGCTTATCAGTCAACCGGCAAAGCGATAATCGTCGCAAGAGAATTATTAATGCAATTCCTACGAATCTATATATATATGTATATATGTATGTGTGAGGTGTGTAGAATTTGGAGTGACTCACTCACCTTTAGCACACGATTAACCTCATCGATTATCTCGCGCTGATGCTGAACTATTTCATCTGTGGTTAGCACCTTGTACTGATAGTCATCGGTTTCCTGTGTTCGTTCCGTTGTGCTTGGCATATCCACCTCCATGGCGAAATCATCGTCACCATCATCGCCGGACGATACGTTGCCGGAGTCAACGTTGTCCATGAAATCGTTATCGTTATCCGAGTCCATGGCTTCGATTGGCTTTGCTTTGCTTCGCTTTCTTTTTCTCGTTTCCTTTCCCTTTTGACCTTTTATGCTCTATCCACTCCTCGCTCTGTCCTGTCCAATACTTTTGCTATTGGTTCTCTTCTACGCTGGCTGGCTGGTTGGCTGATTGATTGATTGATTGATTGATTGACTGCCTGCCTATCTGCGCGTCCGTCCGCCTTTCTGCCCGCTGTGAATGACTGCTGTTGTTGCTTGTGTTATTCTCTGGTCGTTGTTGTTGTTGTTGCTGCTGGTGTTGTTCTTGTTATTTTGTGTATATTTGTTGCGGCTTAAGTTAAGCACGCTACGCTGTTAACTTATTACTTATTTATTATTTGTTTTTTTTTTTCTTGCTCTTGTACTTAGGCAGTTACTGCGTATATTGCACTAGTTGGAAAAATAAACCAAATGAAAAATGCGTTATTATTGGTAGTAATAAACACACACACACACACACACAGGCACGCACACACACACGCAGGCACACACATACACTAAACAATATAAGTTTAACATAGAGACAAACGGCAACGTCAGTTGACCTTCGGCATTGCTGGTCGCTTTGAGCGAAGCAGTTCAGATCATCTGCCCTCAAGTCACATTGGTGGTGGTGGTGTTGTTGTCGTTGTTATTATTAATTTTATTACACGCACACACGCACAATGCTACAAATTTGATGAATTTTATGTAATTTGATGTATACACATGCACACATAGACACACACATGCGCATTTAGTTATGTCCGTGTTTGTGTTTGAGGCCAAACAGCTGTGCAAATAATGCAATTACAGCTGTTAATGCAAATTGTAGTCTGCTCATCAACAGTGCACTGTTAACTAACAGTCCATTTCCAATTAGATCGAACTAGTTCAGCGTTCTTGTTTATGCACCTGCTAGCTTTATTTCTCTTGTTGCTACTGTTGTTTTAGATGTTGCTATTATTGTAGCTACTCTTATTGTTGTTATGCAGCAAAACATTTGCAAATCGCCTTTGACATTTCCATATATGTATTGCATTGCAGCGCAAGACGCATACACGAACTGCATCCGTTATTAACCACAATGTCTCTCTATGCCAAAACCATGATTTTCTTTTTGTCGTTGTTGTTGTCCCTGGATGTCGTTGCGTTTTATTTCGCCTTTGTTTCTTCCGTGTATGTGATTCAATTCACTTTTAATTTTTTTTTCTTATATTTTGCTTGCTCGCGTTGCAAACACTGCAAAATTAAGTCGCCATACGAAAGAAAAGAAAAAAAGAATACAAGTGAGACTACAGCACTGCACAGAAGCAAAGCAAAGGCCACAATGGACACAACACAACACACACACACACACACACGCCTAACAAAACACGTCTATGCATGTGTGTGTGTGTGTGTGTGTGTATGTGTACTTATGTACTTATGCATGTGTGTGAATACTTGTATGCATGCCTGTCTGTGTATTGCTGTGTTCCAATTGGACCACACTACTTTTTAACCAAAATGTTGCAGTTTTCTTTTTTGTAAGCAATTGGTTCAAATAGCAGAATAGCACACAAATACGTCAGCGCACTTGAATATGTAATTACAAGAATTATTCACAATTATGTATATATACATAGAAATAAATATATGTATGTAGTTTATACACACGTATGACACAAAATCAAGGCAACACTCATACACAAGCGCATACATATGTATACATAGACACATATACATTCACACACATACAACAGCTGCAGAGCTCACTTTTCTTATTGGCTTTTACACACTTTCCCCCGGGTCCGATGTACTTGAAACTTTTTAACAATATTTTAGGTGGATTTTTTCAAAGCTTTTATTTACTTTTTATGTTAATTGTAATAATATTGCGACGCGACGCGATTTTCACGCAAAAGCAACATCTGGCAGCACTACACGACACGAAATATCGATAGTGTGATGAACAATATCGATAGTTGTCTTAATCGTTTTGAACATTATATTGCTGACTTTGCGTTTGCTGATGCTAATTTTGCGTTCAACGTGAGCATTGGGAGATTTTGTCTAGACTAAATTCGGATCCCTAGCACAGCAATGACACGCACCAAAAGTGAGTCAGCAATTTTGCGCAGCCAAGTTCAAGTTAGTCAAAATGAAACATGCAGCTACCTTCACGTCTGTCGAACATTAACCGAAGCCAACTTCAAGCGATATAAAATATTGACAGTTTTAAAATGGCGGACAGGACTAAGCTAACAACAAGCTAACTTCATATAAATGAGACAAGACTATAACAGCATAAGTCGAAATTAACCTACAAGCGCATGTATTTCCATTCAAGTAGCTTGTCCGCTCTTTTTCATGCAGCGCAATGTTTATTTTCTCTTTCATCGCTTTCCATGAAAGTGAAAGAGACGGTTATTTTTTTTTATGAAAGAGAAAGAGACAAATACATCTCGATCTCTATCAGGAGAATCAAAATGAAAGAGAGGGAATACCATTTCTTCTCTTTCGTGTATCCATTTACCCACATACCAGTTGAAGTAAATATAAATTGTCAGATTTTTTCAGTTTTAGTTACAAGCAATATATTTGAAATGTACTCGTTAAGGCGCGTAAAACGTTACAATCATATTTTGTTTTTAAACTAACTATATTTTCTAAAGTTTATTGACCGGCACGTAAAACGTTACCATTTTTATGTTTTTTTTTTCTTTTCGACTTTATAATCTAAGCTTCTTTTTTTGCAACATTTTACATGCCTTTAATATATTGTTGGTTTTTCTTTTCATTTTTTTATTTTTCTTTTTCGGCTTGTATAACGTTACACCAACTTTTGTTCTTATTTTATAGTGTTTTTATTTTGTTGTCTTTATTTTTGTCCCACTCTTTTTCGTGTCACTGAACGGATAACACATACAAATACCCGAAACAACAACACATCTGTATTTTTAACAATTAGTATTTATCATTTGTCTTTTCGCTTTTTAATCGTTGAAAACTCAGATGCGTACACACGTTTTTTTTTTGTTTGATTTGGAATTTGTTCGCTTCGAAAATCGGCTTGGACACACTGTTCAACGCGCGCTCAAACCGATTTCTAAAGCTTAGTTCTAGAAAAGTTCTTATTTTTTTACCCTTTGCGATGGCCACCACTGTAAAACCTGTAAGAGAAATAAGAAATAAGCAAACTTCATTGATGGTTGGCAACGTGTCACACAGCGAATCTTCTAGCCGGAAATCTTGGGATTCAAGCACACACAAACACGTCTTCTTATATGCATATTCATATATATATATAGATATTTTTTTTCTGAATGTTTCTATTCGAAATCGACTGCCTGGAATCCATGGAATCCATTCTGGTGATTCAGCACTTACTTGCAGTTAACTGCAACGTGTGCTTTTCTTTATACTGACAATAAACTGAAAGTTAAAGTGAAAAGAAAAAAAAATTGTGAATGGGCCACCTCCATTTTGTATTCGCACACATGCACATGCACTTTCACACACAGGAAATGATGATGAATGCCTGTGTGTGTGTGTGTCTGTGTGTGTGTGTATGCGTTGATAGCTTACCACTTGATTTGCGACTGTACCGCGAGATATATTCGATAAAACTTGAACAACTCTTTCTAAGTGACTTTAGTGCCTTTTTCAAATTCGAATTTTAAATAAATATTTAGAAAAAATAAAAAATTAAAAAAAAAATTTATGCGTAATAACTAATTGGCTTTGTGTTCAATCTGACTAGGTGTGTGTGTGTGTGTGTATGTGTGACAAAATGATTAATTGAGGGTGTACAAAATAAAAATGAAAATGTAATTTGTATGTCTGCTCTTGCCTTTCTCTCCTAACTATATGATGCATAAGCATGGCTGCTGCTGGTAGTTATTGTATACAATTAGGTTATTCGCCAACAAAAAACATCGATGAATCGATCGTTAATATCGGCGAAGATATTTATCGATGAATCGATAGGCAGTGCGCTGCAGCCTGGATATTTGATATTTTTGAAACATATATTGGAATATATTTGAAACCAACCGTATTAAACTTCTTTTCATTATTTCTTTCCGATTAATATACTTGATTAATATTGTATTTTAATACTCTGTGCTGCTCATAAGTGACTAGCGCTTGAAAATATCAATAGGAATCAAGATCAACTAACTGAATCCGCTTTGAATTACAATTTTTGATCGATTGATCCCATGGTAATTTTGATTGTTTTTACAATTTCTTTACATTTATATTTCGTACCTACATACATAAAATAAGTCAATTGCTACTGATTAAAAGTTGTCATTTTTATTAAGGATTCAAAGCTTAAGAATCTATTTCCATATTCAACAAAGCTGCCAGCCTGCTGCATTCCTGTTTCGACAACATTTTGCAATCGCAGTGCTGCCAACTTGATTTTTGAGTCAACTTAACGTTTATCTACTTTTATTTGTCATTTTATCTGTCAGTATTTTTGTGACACTTTCTTTAGACCACGTTAAACATTTGACATTCACTGTGAAAGTGTATGCCGGGCGAAGAAGAAGAATTTAAATTTAAATTCAATAATGGCCAACAATCAGGAATGCAAGTTGAGAAACATTATGTTCAAGCTTATTACATATAATTATATCAATTTGAACAAGTAGTCGAGCTTGCTGGTCTTCAGAAATTTGATGAAAGGAATGAAATGGCTTTATTTTATAGTATTTACGCTTAGTAATTGGCGCCAAGCCAAGTAGATTGTGGAAAATCCAAAGGCAACAAGGGATAACTTGGAAATACTTTGGAATTTTGAAGGCGGGAGTGGGCGTGGCCAAATATTTGTGGCATATGGCGATCTTTGAAGGACATCTCTAACAACCGACCAACTAAATGTGGTGATTGTAGCCTTATAATTGTGGTACATATGATTCGATTATCGATTTGCACTTATCGATTTTATCGATTTCCTAGCCCCCTAGTGGACGTAGCACTCCAATTTGTCGGCTTTGACCTTTACTTTTGGTATCAAAGTATAAGAACTCTTTTTACTTACCTTTTTTAGAACACAATAATCATAACAATTTCATTTATTGCATTACTAAGTGGAATGGCTCCGATTTTGGGGGCTGGATTTCCTTACCAAATGCGAATTGAATATTGGGAAGATGATTGTCTAATTGCCATCCCGTAAATGGTCTGTCGTCTTTGCGACAGGTGTACGGCCCCCTCTGCCCTGCCTGAGTAAATGATTTTCATTGGTTTCAATAAGTAATTTTATTTCACATTAAAGATCTCATTTAATTTTTGGTTTTTTTTTTGTTCCTTCTCTTGACTTCTTACTCGTAAGTATTTACTTTAAATGTTCCATTTCTCCACCTGTTTTCATATAATTTACTAATTCTTACAAAAACTTATTTAATGTCCATTCCATGCACAATAAAACAAATAATAATGTAACAGAGCCATTATAATAATATGGGGAGTAAAGAAGAATACCAAAAATGATGTACATAAAAAAAAATAAAAAAAATTAAAGTTACAAACTAAATGTTAAACTAGTTAATTGCATCATTTTTTTTTTTTTTTTTGGTTTTTCTTTTTTTTTCTTTTTTTTTGAGGAAGTGGCAGCTTGATACTTTGAGTTTGCGCTTCGGGATTAGAAGTGAAAAGAACGGCAACAAGAATGTGTGCCGCCTTTTAACGCAATTGCCACTGAAAATCTAAATCATAACAAATGCCAATCTGTCTTGATTAACTTCTCTTCTTTAACACATGGTATGCCATTCATCACATCAAACATCATTTGAATGTGTCATGTATCCTGTATCTTCCCGTCGAAGTTTTACATCAAAAAATTGTATTTATTACTTAGTAATTTTTTTGTTTTTTTTGTTTGTTTTTTTTTTTTGCTCTTGTAGCACACAAATATTTGCATTATGACAATAAAATTATGCTTCTTTGTCATTTTATATGTATTTTATGTTTAAACACCTATTAGAAGTCCTCATGTGTCTGTTGGGATGGTTTTTTTTTTATATTAGTATTTTTATATATATATATATATATGTATATATATATATATATATATACATATAATCATTTAAGGAAAACATTCATTTCGTGTTTATAGTTAGGTTTTTCCCCATTTACGCGTACGTGTGAATGTGTGTCGGTGTCGGTGTGTGTGTATGTGTTGGTCTGTGTGTGAGTGAATTTTAAGAATTTTCTTACCGTTAGCATAAATAGTAGTTGTGTGAAAACGTGCAGCAAAAATCTAAAACTTAAATACATACATATATATAGCAAAAAGTGGTGCTGTTTACAAAAAACGTATCGGCAAATATATTATTATATGTGTTGTGTTTTTCTTAAAACCTATGTGTGTGGGAGAGTGCAAAATGCCTGCTTTTAAATATCCTGTTACTGTGTGTGTGTGTGTGTGACGGGGATTAGGAAATTACGTATGTATGTGTATTTATTTGAAAATTTTCGTTTGCCTAAGCTGGTTTTAGTAGTTTACTTATTTCTGTTTAATTCATTTTGTTTTGTTTTGTTTCATTTGTTATTGTTGCTTTTGCTTGCATAATTTACACCAATTTAAGTTCAATATTTATTTTTGTTTGCTTTTTGCTTTACTTTTGCATATATTTTGCTGATGAAAAATCAAGTTTTAATAACATACAGATTGCGCACATTTAGATAACGACAAGATGATAATTATCAAGATATTTCATGTTTATTTAGTACTTTGCATAACATTTGGTTTGCTCTTTTCTTTGTGATTTTTAATGTCAACTGTGGATGGAAATTCTTTATGTTTATTTCTTCCTATTTGCTCATTTGACTCTAAACAAAAACAAAACAGGATAAATAAGAGAAACAATTCCAATCAAAAATCCAACTATATTTCATGTCCAGAGTGCTGTAGAAAAATAGCTCACATAGCACACAAATATGGAAAATTCTCCCATCATTCAGTTTCTTTTCAGCGCAATGTTTGTTACATACAAATAATAAAAGACAAACAAATATAATCCAAATAATATTTGTTGTTGCTTGATCTTTGTTCGTTCGGTTGCAGTGGTGGTTGTTGCCTGTGCTATGTTAGTGTCTCTGCTTCTGTGCATGTGTGTGTGTGGGTGTGTGTCTGCGATTAGCCACTCGTTGATTTGGTTGCTGCACTTGCTAAGCTATGATGCCAACAAACGTGCAAAAAAAAGAAAACCAATAAAACCAAATTGAAAGAAAACCATAATTCAAATGCATTATAATAATGTGTTTTTTATATATATGTATATATATATATATATATATATATACGTGTGTGTGTATGTGTGTGTGTGTTGTATGTTACAGTTTTCCATGCTTAACAACTACAATTACATTTAAGCAATTTAAGCAAATGTATCTTGCAATTGGTAGGGCAAAACTAAACGTGGATAATAACTTAACAGAATTGGAGTCGGCTTCTTGAGAGCAAGATTATCGAGACATATTTGTTAAAGGAAAAACTAAACAGCGTTGGTCCAACTGTTGCTTAAGTCGATACATACATTATGGTAATGCCTAGCAGTTGTATAAATGTATGTGTATATATGTGTGCCTGTGTGTGTGTATGTGTATGTGTGTGTGTGTGTGTGTGTGCTTGCCTATTGTTTTAGGTTTTATTTAGTTCCTACGACTTTGGGCGGCGTAAAAAAAAACTGTACAGGACTCGGTAGTTACTGCAACGGCAACGGCAACTTTTTTTTTGCTCTTTTTTTTTGAAATTTTATTTTTGTTTTTTTTTTTTAATTTTTTTTATTTATTTATTATTTATTTATATGTCAGTCGGCGGAAGTGGTGGCGGCGAAGGTGGCGGTGGCGACGGTGGTGTTGGTACAAGCTCCAATTGTTGTTGCTGCTGAAGGTACTCGACCTCCTCTAAATCGGCACGCAGACAGCTGCTGCAACTGGTTGCATCGCTGTCCTCCACTATGGTCGCATCATCATCAAAATCATCATCATCATCATCATCATCAACATCGTCATCATCATCATCATTGTCATCAACATTATTTGGTTCATCTTGATCGTCTTGAATGTTGATATCCTGATCGCAATTGCCACCACCAGCTGGCACCTCCTCCAATTCATCCAGATCCAGATCCATATCCAGATTCACATTCTCATCTAATGATTCTTGCTGCTGTTGTTGCTTTTGTTGTTGTTGTTGTTGCTGTTGTTGTTGCTGTTGTTCTTGTTGTTGTTGCTGTTGTTGCTGCTGCTGCTGCTGCGTCACTCCATAGTTGCGAATAGCTGCTGCTGCTGCTGCTGCTGATGTTGTCTGCTGCTCCTCATCCTGCACCATTTTCATCTCCACACTCCCATCATTCGCCGAATGCTGCTGCTGCGTGGCACCAGCTGCAGCTGCAGCGACATCTAATTGATGTTGTTGTTGCTGTTGCTGCTGTTGTCGCTGTTGCTGCTGCTGCTGCTCCTCCAGCCGCGCGACCACCACTTCATCCGACTCGACAAGACTTTAACCGCTCTTAAACAATAAAATGGCCACCTGACCCAAATAGAAATAAATGAAATGACGCGTCTCGTGTGTCACATACGATCCGAAATTGCGGCCAACAATGCAATGCCATGTGGGATTGTATTTCTTGTCAAACTCCTTCTTGATGTAAGCCGCAATATCCTGCATGAGACAGAAACAGACAAAAAAAGTGTGTGAGTGAGAGAGAGAGAAAGAGAGAGTTAGATAGTTTGGTAATTGTTGCAAATGTGTAAGTGGCTGTTAAGTGTTATTCAAATTGGCAGTAACTACACTTTGCAAGAACAACAACGACAACAACAACAACAAGAACAACACACAGACAACCACAACCCACAAATCAAATCAAAACAAAATAGCTCAAGCACCACCCCAACCCCACCACCCACTTTCATTCATTCCCCTGCTGTTGTAAGTAGGATGTGAGACTGATTCGAGGGAGAGCGGAAATTGAGGAAAGCGATTGGGGGAATGGGGGGAACGGGGGGAAAGGGAAAGCGCCAAAAGTTTTGAGTGCTAATGAGTTAGTTATGATTGTTGTTGCTGTTGTTGTTGTTGTTGTCGGGCGTTATATTAAGCAATATTTGCGCAGAATTTGGTTTACAATTTGAGCAGTTATAAACCAGAAAACACACATACACACGCACACACATACACACACGCACACACACACAGCATGCTGTAAACGTGTTAGCCAGGCTAATATTCCGTTGCAGCAACGGCAATTGCCAAATGCCAAAGGTCATTGCCAGTCGCTCTCTCCGGGGTCGTGCAGACAGCAGGCACAACACTCGCAAAAAATAACGATGCAAGACCATTAAATATCGCGACAGACTGGATATACCCTGCAAAACTTATGAAATCCAGCTTTAAAACTGCGCATGTTTTTATAGCAATGTGCGAAAATTGGTTAACAGTCGGTCAACTTTTGTCAAACTTTTGTGACTCTGGCTTTTTATCGACTTCCACTTATCGATCGATGTTATCGATTTAACAGTTTAATTTAACATATATTTATATTTACATATTAAACATATATTCCTTCTTGCAAGACTCTAGTCTAAAACAGGATACAGGATAATACAGCACCATATATATATATATATATATATATATATATATATATATATATATATATATATATATATAAAGACCGACAGATTCATCCAATAAGAGCTGTATATATACAAAATTATAATACACCCTACATCATCATGATCATCAGCATCATCAAATTGTTGTCGGCATGCATAGTAAGATATCAAATAACATTTCTTTTGAATAAAAACTCCAAAATAATTGCATTTAGAGCGTACTTTGTGGCGAATTCTCAGAATTCTGCAGAATTGAAGGAATAAAACAACCAATCAGATGACAATTTTCTTTTTCATTAATTAAATAAAATGTGCTTTGTTTCTCAGAGTTTGAGTTAATTTCTATCCAGGATAAGTCAGTCAGACCAGGACTAAATAATTCGCATCATAATTATAATATTCAGCTGCAGTTCAAACTATCATAAAAGAGCTTTAGCTAGGCGGACACTCGGAAAAAATCACTCTGAATTTTAGAAATTCTTGTGCAAAAAAAAAATAAATAAAAATTCTAAAATTTAAGTTGTTGCTTTTAATTTCAGGTTAGTTTTTTTTTAATTTAATATATAGATAATAATTTGCTAAATCTTTCGAGCGGTCTTTTGAATTTTAGAAGGGATTTTTTCTAAATATTAAAAAATAATATGAAGAAGAAAAAAACGGGATACTTTTTAAAATTATAAATTTGTGGCAAGGCAAAGCAGCTGTCTAATTTGAAGAAAAATATTCTCTAATATTTGAATATGATTTGTAAAGACAAGAGAAACTTTCAGGTCAAATTGTTTCTCTAAGTGTAAGTGGGCTAACTTATAAGAATGACAAATCACGGCTGCGATGACAAATTCTATGCTTTTTACGATAAAAAAAAAACAAAACAACACAAAATAAAAAAAACGCAGCACAACAAACTCGAAGCAATAGAAAAGTTATTCTTTTGCGAATAGTTGTGTTTGTTAGTTGCTGGGGACGGAGCAGATGTGCACTCAGATACAACTTGACAAATGCGTGCTAAGCCACAAACTTAACCCAGTAACCTCGAATAAAAAGGCAAAAAACCTCAAAGCAAAAAGCAAAAAACAAAAAAAAGAAGAAAAACACACACACCCCTTCGCTATTAAGTCATGGCTAAGTTTTTATTAGTTGTTGTTGTTGTTGTTTTGTTTTTTATTATTATTATTAGTATCGTTATGTGTCGTGCTAGACGACAATATAGCGTTGATTGTTTTTTCTACATTCATTTTGGTTGAACATTTTGGCATTTTGCACTTGGGACGAGACAGGTATGGGTTGGTTATGGTGTTGTTCAAGGAATGGAACGGGAATCACTTTCAGCTTTTTTGTTTCTATCCCAAACTTTTATACAGTTATTCTTGCATACGTCACGAGATAAGGTCCATCATTCTATGAAATACTTCAACGATGGATCGATCACTCACACAGGCCCGGTGGCCCTTGGAGTTGTGGACATTCTTGGATATCCAACCACGAACCTTTCCCCTTTGGGGAAATACACCAGCTGGCGAGAATGGGGCCAGAGTGACTACTCCTCACACAAGGCAAGAATAGAGACACGAAGAATTTAACTTTTAGGCGGCTATAATCACAAAGGATTTAAGCAACTAGTATCCATCCTAGGCGAAGTACAGATTTCGAATACTCATCGGTCTCTTGACAGCAGACAGTTGACTAAGAATTCACCCATGCAGACTATCCTCAGAAAAAAGAAAAGCCAAAAAAATATATGCAATATTAAATCTGTAAATTCGTCTGATTGCATTTTAAATCATGACTTGTAGCAGAAACTATTTACTAAGAGTCAAATACAAAACAGTTGGACTTTCACTCTCTCACTTTATCTCTCAGCTATATTCAATTATGATCTGTAGAAATATTGAATTTATTTAAAAACCATTTGCACTTTTTTATATTTATATCCGCTGAATACAAACCACAACAATAAAAGAGAGGCAACTTGTCAATATTGCGGCATATAAAAACAATGTTTTTGTCGAAAACTTCCGCCCAAATCATGTACTCGACTATATGTTAAAGGAATGCAGTGGGCGGGGTCTATCGGGGACTGAATGTGTGGTGTGAGGTGGTGTGGTTGTTGGGTGACTTGTCGGATATATTTGGCCACATATTGATTAAACATTTGGCCACGCAAAATGTTTCAACGACACACTAAACAAATCGAGGAGCAGCAATAATAAATAAACTAAAGCCCGAAATGGCAAAGCGAACGAAACGAAAAAATACAACAACAAAAAAACTAATTAAATTTGTTTAAAAGGTGGAGGCGCAGATACGCGGGGCAGGAGGGATGGAGGGGGAAGAGGGGGTTGCCGGAATTGATTTAATTTCGCTTATGTCGCTTTGCTGTCGGCTGATTTGTTTGCTTGGTTTCTTGTTATTGTTGTTGTTGGCCTCTTTTTGGCTTATTTTGGAGGATTTTGCCTTTAAATCGCTGCCACAGCCAAGGCGAACACAACACAACACACACACACACATACATACACACACACACACAAAGGCACAGCAAAAGCATAATGCATTATGGTAGATACAATTTAAGCCTCTCCAAAGGTTGAGCGCTCCTAAAAATATATAAAACACAGCATTTGCTGTGCTATATATATGTATCCAGTGCGTATATATATATATATATATATATATATAAATATATATATATGTCTTCTTCTGCTCCCATTTAACCCTTGTGTATTGGGTGTGCTAGTTGCGTATCTATTGGATACCAAAATGTTTTTGTTTCTTGTGTGTGTTATATTTGCCACTATGAAAATTCAGCAACGTAATATAGTTTATTCCCCACTCTACACACATACACACACACACACACAGTAATCAATTGAGTCATTTGGAAAGGTTTTGGGGCACCGTTCGCGAATTAATCAATTAAACCGGAGGACCAATGCGCACATCACAAGGATATCTAATTAGCAATGCATGTGTAAAAAAAAATCACATAAAAAATAGAGCTTGACGACCCAAAAATGTCAGCAAAAAACAGACAAAAAAGTTATCGATATGAATGAATGAAAGTTACACAAAACGCATTTATTATCAAAAATATAAAAAATATCGATGGTTAAATATAGTTTTCACATAAAATATCATTAATTTGCAGGCTATAATTCAAATAAAGATATAATATCAATTGGAAATGGGTACAAATGGTAGTATAATGATGATGGAAGAATCTACGACGAACCCATTAAGCTTTTATATGCTTGATTCACACGAAGAGTCCAGTCGATTAATATAAGCATTTTGAAACATTCTTGAATGTCAACAGAATGTATGCAGAATGTTGCTGCCATAAGAAACCATTGTTGTATATTCAACATTCGTAGAGAATGTTGCGAATTTTTGATCGATGCAGTGAAAAGTATGGCAATATCAATGCATTTCCAATACAATTATAAGTTTTAATAATAATAAAATTACAATTTGAAGGTGAGCAAAGTTCAAAATGACAAAGCGGAGACTCGTGATGGAATCGCAAAATGTGAATGTTCGAAATGTTGGGCATAGTGGAATCGGGAATCGGGCTAAAAGACATGACCGACATGTTCGACTGTCCGTCAGGGATGTAAGTTCTCGTATAGCACACACAGATCTAGTTTGTTTCATTATCTCAATAACTTTCACCGTTACGCGTTTATCGATATAAATCGAATGTCGATAGCAATAAACACATTCATCAAAAATATATATAGCTTTCTAAATGAGAATTCATTTATGTTGGCATCTTTGAATATCATCATCATCAAGATCGCTTAAGAAACACAAAAGAAACCCGAACATGCTCTGGTTGCTCATGGATAGCACACATTTAACATTTATAAATTCAATTGGGTTCGGAGTATGCCCGATATATGTTTTTAACTGACTACTTAGCTCCAGTTTAGCAACAAAAATCACAACATATTAAATTGAAAGCATCATTAATGGGCATCTTAATTGGATTTGTTTCATTTGTATAGCAAGGGCAGCAGCATCGCTGCTGCATTTTAATCAATTTAACTGCAAAAGTGACTTTTGCTGCTGTGGTGGAAACAGGACAAACAAACAACAAACACTCAATCGAGATCTGATTAACAATCACACTATTATTATTATTATTATTATGCTTATTATTATTATTATCATTAATATGATTGTAATTATTTCTATGCACTGGCAACATACAACAACAAAAATAACAACAAGAACAGTTCAAACGAAAGGCAATCAATCGCGTATTTGTCCTGCACACATCCTGTTTGCTATCTTGTGCGTATATGCCTCAATATGTGGCATACATTTTATTTATAGCAAACGCGCGCCTGCCAGTGGGCCAGCAGTGCTTGTGGCTTGTGCGCCTCTTATCTGTACGCACTCACACAGAGAGAGAGAGAGAGAGAGAGAGAAAGATAACTTTGTAAGCTGCAGTGGAAAATTGTAGCATACTTTCCGGCAGAGCGCGCGCGTTTCCATGCTGCCTCTTTTCCAATTTAACTACTCAATTAGCAGACACACACACACATACACAGTATCGCACCACCATCGACCAAACCGCCCACACCACGCCCCCCCCCCCTCCCCCTCATTCCTTGCCAGCAAGCAGTGATTTCTTGTTTGCTTTCTCTCTCTGTCCGTTTATCTCTGTACTTGGCTCTCGCAGCATTCAAGGCCTTGCCTTGGCACCTGCCATTGGCATTGAAAGAGACTTGTAATAACCATCCCCATACACCCACCCACACACCCACCCACACACAGCCACCCACACACACACACACACACACACCTATCTAACCAGACCCTGATCCCAAAGTGTTAGCTATGGCTATGCCCGGAGCCGCAAACGGCACTGACCAGACACCAGACCCGGCCTCCAAAGGGGCCAGCGCCAAGCATTAGCGTTAGATGCTGCATTATACATATACAAATACATATATATTGATGTGTGTGTGTGTGTGTGTAATGTATGTTTATTGATTATTTCGTTTGCTTCATTCGTATTGTTATTATTATGCTATTTCTTGTTGACACAGCTGCTGCTTCTTCTGCTGCTGCTGCTCTTGGCCAAGCTTACACATATTGTAGCCTGGCCTTTGCCATGGCCAACGCGCAGCTAGCATTTAACAACGTCTGTGCAGCAGCAATAAGGAAAGGGATGGATGCACACACACACACACACAGAAACAACTCATTCAGCTCGAATTGTATTGAAACGTTTGACAACAAAAAGCCAGCAGCAAGTTTCTAGCCATTCCAGATGTTAATGACAACAAAAATCCCCCATTGCAACTTTTGCATTGTCAAAAGAAAAATGCAAAAAGAAATGGGAATCTGTAAAATGCAATTATCTAAAAATCATTTCAAATTAATTGTCAATATTATTTGAATATACAATTGAATAAATATTCCCATGAAAATTTATACATTTTGTTTTCAATTTCAATTTAAAATAACTAGGAAAAAACATAAATCGAGAGCGAGTGAGAGTGAGAGGGAGAGAGTGAGAGGGAGAGAGAGAGAGGGGGAGACAGAGAGCTTTACTATTTTTGCCGCTATTTATAGTTTATGAATAATTGATATATGGTAAATGATTTTACCATTGCTTCAGATGAGACAAAAATTGCTGCAGTTTTATTGACAAAGCAGAAGAAGTTTAATCAATTCAAATCAAACACCAAAAATTTAACAACGATATCTTTTTTAGATGATTGGTCTAACTGATCTTGAGAGGTAAAATTGGGAACTATTGGTCAAAAGAGGAATATGGTAAATATTATATTCCGTTCAGACGATTTATTCTAAAAAGAATAGAAACTTATTTGACTTGTGATATTGTTGTGTTCACATACCTTTTCAATATTGTACTTCTCCAGGGCTTGTGTCGCACAATCGACAGCATCCTGCTGCATCTCCTCGCTCATGTCAGCATTCTTAATGACGGCTTTGCGATCGGACATTTTGATAAGTATTTATGTTGCTGTTGTTGTTGTTGTTGCTGTTGTAAATGATGTCTGTAAAGAAAACAAAGAAACAAATTTGCACTCTGTGTGGTTTGTGCAAATATTGCGGATCGCATTAGTTCAGTGTTGTATACATTTTGTGTACAGAGGAGAAAGGTGAAAAGAATGCAATCTCAAATGCATAATAAAGTTAAACACACATAGACACACACACACACACAAAGACGCAGGCGCAGTGTGCACAACAACAAAAACTCGCTGCATACTTTTGTGGGAAGCCAAAAGTGGAAAAATCTAACAATTTGATTATAAACGAAAACAACGCGCAAAACGGAGCAAATCAAATATCAAAGGAAGAGCAGTGAAATAACTGCAACACAACACACACACACACAAATCAATTAGCAATATGCATGAGCGAGCGAGTGAGGGACAGCATCAACAGCAGCAGCAGATGCAGCAACAACAAAAGTGGGAGCAGTGCAACGAGAGCTAAAATCTGATAGTAAAGCTAAGCTAGTCAGAGAAAGAGAGAGAGAGAGAGAGAGAGAGGGAAAGAGAGAGAGAGAGAGAGAGAGAGGGAAAGAGGAGAGAGAGAGAACAGCAAGTCCCGTGGCCTTGGCAACGGCTTCGTTGCTTCTGCTGTTGCCAAGGACAGAGAGACAGAGGAGCAAAGCGAATACTGCTAATTCCAATTCAATGCAGCAGCAGCAGCAGTGAGTTAATGAAAATTGCATGCGTTTCTTCTATTGTTGGTGTTGTTGTTATTGTTGTTGCTGTTGCTGCTGCTGCTGCTGTTGTTGTTCATTCATTGTTATTATTGCTCTGCTCATGCGACTAGCAACACTCAATGGAATAATTAGAGAAGCCATTGCCAAAAACAAAAAGAAACAAAAGTTTCTACAGCATCAGGTGGAAGACGGCAATCTATCGGCAAGCGTATTTAATCGTCGGCATGCGAATCAAAACTGTTTTCATATCAAATTTCAACAATTTGCATCTCTTTGCGCTGAATTTCGAGTTTAGCTGTCTGCTGATAATGATGGATAATAATAATAATACCGTTGCTAATTGCATGTTCTTGTTATTTGTATCTATGTATATATGTATGTATATATATATGCATACATATATCTTAATCAGTGGCTCAAATGGGAAATGCCAAACAAATATAAACGGATATGCCGCTAATAGTTGTTTGTTGCTGACTAACTGACTCACTGACAACGGCAGGCGGAAGCGAAGGCTGGGGCGGAGTAGGTCATGAGTAGTTTTAAATATGGCAAGTACGCAATTAAACAAAGAGAGTGAGAGAGAAAGAATGAGAGGGAGAGTGAGAGAGACAGAATTAAAGGCAACTTTACCATTGCTCACTCTCTCTCTCTCTTACTCGTACTCTCTCCCTCACTCTCTCATTGTTTGGCTATAATAAGTATATATGGAAATTCACTTAAGCGTAAAAGAGAGATACAGCAATTGTTGGTATGCAACAATGCAGCAGAGAGATCCTGGCAGTAGTAGAAGGAGATGGAGGAGGAGATGGCGATGGAGAAGGCGATGGAGAAGGAGATGGAGAATTGACGGATGTACTAATTAAGTCAATTAGAAATGCATTGACAGTTTGTCAAACGGAGATAACCAGCTTGTTGCTTTCTAGCAACCGATTGAAGCACTGACTGAACTCTCTCTGTGTGTGTGTTATGACAGGCACTTTGGCAGCTGAGCTGTAAAGTATACTATGATTTGCTCATCAGTCAAAGTAAGCTTTATTTGCATTGCATTTGTTAGCAACAATCAACATTTAAAAGTACATTTCTAGATTTCTGATCTCAAGTGTTGTTCAAAATTCGGATCAAGATTTAGTCCTCTCAGCTTTCTACCGGAAATATTTCATCGCACATAAAAATTTGTATGAATGTCAACAATTAATTGCACAATTTTGACACAGTTAACTTACTTTAGTTGTTGTATTTGTTGTTGTTGTTCTTGTTATATTTGGGAATTTTTGCGCACGATCATTTGCCGAGTGCCAAGCAAAATACTTTTAGTGCTATTAATTAAACAATAATTAACATTTTCTGCTAGGAATCAATTTAACAATTAATCTTAATCTTAGTTAAGTCTCTACAGAATCGCTCAGGCCCAATGGAGGCAAGGGAATGGAATGCCCGGCACAGTTTTCAAATCTTAACCGGATTGAGAATTTATGGTGTTGGTTCAGTTCAGTTAGTTCTAGTCCTGGTACACTGAGAGCAGGTCTTGGACATCGATTTCTCTAGCTCCTTTGAGATCAATTTAAGAACTTAAATTTTGTTTGTTAACAATTTTATAGCTATTCCATATTTTAATGTTTACTTCTCTTCAGTATTAATTGCTTATTCAGTTAAAATGTTCATCATTTTTTAACTATATTTTAACGTTTTTTTTTTAACATTTTCCAAAACATATGTGTGCACTACTATTATTTTGACCGCAGTTGTATATATAGTCAATATATACATATATATATATATATATATATATATATATATATATAACCCTTTTCGGCAATTTGTGCACGCAACACAAACAAAACTTGGCACGCGCGTTTCGCACTTTATGGACAAAATACAGTCACTTTAACAAAAATAAACAAAAGATTGTTTGGCACATTGAAATTAATTAAGCTGTTAGTTTAATGGGAACAATGTTTTTTTGTTTACCGCTAAGCGCACTAGGCGAGACTAAACATAAAAATATAATTTCGGGCGGACTGTGTTGCGACCTGTTCGCTTGTCTGTGTTAAACTGTTTCGATCGAATCGGCCCGTCGACAGTGGCACGAATGCCTTCAGTTTAGGCGACATGCCAATTAGCTCGTCGCTGATTGGTTGAACTGAGGCCGCTTCTGGCAGCATTGCTGCAGGTAGTCGTAACGATTATTAACCGTATACCGAATACTTCACGGGTAACACTCTCAAATTGTTTATGATTTAATGCAGTTAAGTCTAATATTATAATTAATTACAGTTTGTAATTAAGATAAATGAAAAGATTGGGCGCTATTGATATTATTGAATTAATATTTATATAAATATATATAAACAGCACGTGTTGTATGAAGAGAATTTGTGCTATGAGTAACTAGTGCCTACACGCAAAGCGGCATCACTGACAACTGAACAGCTAGCAGAGTTGCATTTGACGGCAAAATATAAATAGCGCGCTATATGCAAAATTCAAACAGCTCCGAAGACATCATGCTATAAATGCCGGCATTACCAACAAATTCAATTTTACTTTTAAGGTCAGGCAACACTGTCAGCAGGCTGCCTGTACAAAAAAAAAAAAAACAAAATTGTTTGTGGGACAAAGCTAAAAGAGGAACTAAGAAAATCGCACATTCAATTCGGATTTTGCCAAAATAGACAATTTCCGCACAAGCAAATGCCGTTATTCTAATTTTCTTTTCGCATATGTGTTACGACGATCCCTTTTAGTGAATAAAAACAGCAAATCTTTTTTTTTTTTTGGTTCCTTTAGTGAACTGCCATCAAAACTTGTAAAATTACACTTTAGGCTTCCCACCTGTTCCGTGCTGCTCGACGACAAGCATTCAAATAAAGAGCTCGTTCAAATGTGTCCCTGGAGCTGTTAATGTAAGCTGTTGATCAAAAACACCACACGAAAGAGAGTACAAAAGCGAAGTGAAAAAAACCGTTTCTACTGAGTGGGAAATCTGATCTGCTCCACTATTGTTGTCGGCCGTGTCTGCTTTGTATTTAGTATTGATTATTGATGGTTATTTACGATCTCTTATTCAAATAGTCAAATTAAATATGTAACAATATTATATATTCCGTTTTGTCCCTTTTTGTTTGTATATATTTAACATACCTAAGAAGTAAGCAATGTTTGCGAAATGATTCAATTCTTCCTTGTATTGATGAAGAAGAGAAAACGATGCAATTTCGTTTCGAGCAACAGTTTCAGTGTGCATGTATGTGCGTGTGTGCGTGCGTACGTGTTGTTGTGTGTGGTTTACACTCCCACGACAAATGACTTGTTAAATCTGTCTGTTTGCCAGAAAGCTCTCAGCCAGCTATTTAATTACCTCTCAAGGCATGCTCATAATCTAAGCGCCAGATTAGGTAGAAAAAGCGAAAAAAAAATTTTTTTTTAAATCAAATACATGTTCATATCCATATATCCAAAATAACAAATGACGTCAACTCAAGAACTTGGACCATTCCATTTGATAATCAACAATAGACACACACAATAGAGTTTCTCAGTCATACTAGGAAATAACATCGCATTAAAAGCTGAATTCTAGTGGAAGAAGCAAGCCAGTTCATTTCTAGATTTCTGATCTCAAGTGATGCTCAAAATTAGTGACACATTTTTTGGTCCTGCTGGCGCCACTCTCAGCTTTCGTACGGAAACATTTCGCATACATACAAATATGCATGTGTGTATGTATGGATGGATGTGTGTCAACAATTTATTGCACAACTTCACTCAGAACATTTCTCACGCGTCAACACAACTTACCTTAGTAAATGTTGTTCTTGTTGCTGTTGTCTTTGGTGAGTTGCGCGCGATCTTTTGCCGCATGGCAAGCCAAATAGTTTTTTTTTTTTGCGGCCTCGATGTTAATTCAACAGCTGTTGACTAATTAAACAATATTTTTAATAATTTCTGCTAATGCCCAAAAAACAACAACAAAATACTCCCACGAATCAATTTTAAAATTTATGTGTAATTGAGCGTGTATGTATGTATAAACATATATAATTAATTATATATATATATATATATAAACTCCTTTTCGGCAATTTTTACAGGCAATACGAAGAAATTGGGCAGGCCGCGTTTTGCACATTATAGACAAAATACAGCAACAGTAACAAAAATTAACAAAAATAATGTAAGGCACTTTTAAATATGTTAAGCTGTTAGTAAAGGTGAAAAAAATTTGTTTACCGCTAAGCGCACCAGTCGAGACTAAAGTTTAAAAAAGAATTCCGGGCGGAGCGCACTACGTTACGACCTGTTCGCTTGCCTGTGTTAAACTGTTTCGATCGAATTCGCAGTTGACAGCCCAAATGCCTTCAGTTTAGGCGACATGTCAATTAGCTCGTCTCTGATTGGTTAAGACCAGGCCGCGTCTGGCAGGCTGCTTCTGGCAAGCCGCGTCTGGCAGTAGTGCAGCAGGTATTCGTAACGATTTTTAACTGTTCAGCGGGTACTTTTCGGATACCCGTCCCATGTTTTTAATGATTTTGAGTAACCCACTTCAATTGAATAATTAATAATATTTTGTATTTGATGAAAAGAGGCTACGTAATATGTATGTTATCAAAACAACATACAAAAAATGTATATGGTAGCAAGTAAGTGGTATCCATCACTGAGTAGCTTGTAACAACTTTCATCATGGCATCACTCACGATTGAACAACTAGCAGAGTTGCATTTGACTGCAAAAGCAGTATTGCGCGCTAGATACAAAATTCAAACAGCATATAGTGAAAGCAAAATATTCAAGTGCACTTAAATGTTGTGTACAAAGAAATTTTTTAAAAATCATACAAAGCAATAAAATAAAAATCGGCTCTAATTAATGAATTTAAGAGTAGTCACGTTTCTCAAAGAAATTTACATACCGAATAATCGAAATATTTAGTTGAATATTAACTTGTACAACGGTAAAACGCTGCTTTAACTTAATCTTACCACTGGGCGGTGGAGAAAGAAGCGCTGGCATTCACAGTCATACGTACGTAAATGCATACATACATACATATGCATGAGACGGTACATACACAGACGTAATAGTGGGCACATAAAAGAAACGGCGGCACCAATTTTAGAGTTGCTCACGCTATCGGCTATCGCTAGCAAGTGTTGCTGTCTAACTTCGATTAAACCGCCTAAAAACCTCAGCAGAGAAAAAAACCGCATTTTAAAATGAGCGAATCTGCAATGATTGTGCACCCGTATCATGGTTGCATTTATGCTCATAGTATAAGTAATATATATTTAGTTTTGAATCCTTTTTACCCGCAGTCATTAGTATATAAAATATCCTATATATTTGTACATACATCTGCATATTTATATTCCTGCCATGTGTGCATGGCTTAACATTAAAAATGGAAATTTTCGTTTGTTCGCTTTACAATGAAGCTGAAGCGAAAGCAACATGGCGATGAAGAGCAGTAGTAGTAGTGGCAACAATCATAAGCTGGCAGAAAATACGCAAGTGTGAGCAGGACAGCCATTATGTCTCTCTGCTGGTAGCTATTAGTGTCAGCTATAAGTACATACATACATAAGCTATGTATACACACATATGTGTGCGTGAGTATGGGATAAAACCAGCAAGGGAGCAACAACATGCAAGAGCATTGAAGCGCGCCCCGCCGATGACTAACATTTCAGAGCTGCCAGATAGTTGGACAAATTGTGACTATTTGCAGGGTGTGGCTGTTAGCAGCTGTTATATTTTTGAATGGTTCTACATTTTAAGTCATATTGCACTGCATTTCGATTAAAATATAGTAAAAATAGAGTGCAGTTCAAAATTGAATAGTTCATTTTAGTTTACTCCGTTTTGTCAAATTTGCTTTTCACATTAGAAGCATATACAAAGTAATAATGTGTTTATGTACTTTTGTTTGGTGATATGTATGTTTCAAGATTCATTATTTACTATTTTGCTGGGCTATCAGGATGTTTTTTTTTGTTAAATAATACAGAAATATTGTGTAAAATTTGAATATTTTTTACAAAGACTACTTCGAAAATAGAAGCAACGCGCCAACCTTAGTTAGGGGTTACGCAAAACCAGTCATAAGCGGCGATCTCGCTCGCCTCACCACCGCAACCCTGTGTGTGTGTGTAAGGCTATTAAGCAATTTCACAATTTTGTGTCTCAGCACATCTGGCAACCCAGCAATAGCATACCACATTTGCTCGACCGTTCGCTTACACATATAGACACATACATGCACACATATGAACGGATGTATGCATGCATGTATACATGTTTATATACTGTATAGTGAGAGCATGCGTGTGTATGTGTGTGTGCCTGGCCAGAGTGGCCTGCCTGTTAGCGCCCGCTTATTTTGTGAGTTGGCAGCACAAACAAGTCGCAGCGCGCTGTTCAGTTGTTTTTTTCCCGTCAAACTTACGATACGGCTACAACTCTGCTGCTCTCGGTTTGTTCGTTCGTTTCTTCGCTTGCTTTCTATTTGGTTTCGTTTTTGTGTTATTAACATTATTGCTGTTGTGTATGTGTGCGTGTGTGTGTGTACGTGTACGTGCTCATTTTGAAAATATTCTTAGGAAAATGTTCGCGAACAACAAAAACTGCAGATTTAAAAAGAAAGAGCTGTCCCGCAACGGCTTCAAGAACAACAACAAAAACTATACCATTTGAAAAGAGAGGCTGCAAACAAGTTTTGTTTGCGTCCCGTTCGCAAAGCGCGCGCATAATCCCAGATTTCCAATCAAGGTGAAACTGCAACTGACATTGACTGCAAGTTTTCCCATAATACTCATTTAATTGAGAATTAAGTGGCAGCAGCATCATCAGCATCATCAGACGTTTAAATATTTGCGGCGATTTCCAATACAAAAATCAAAATACCAACAAAAAATAAAACAGAAACAGAAAGAAGGCAAGCTGCCACACATACACAGGCACACACACATACAGACGTCAATAGTGTAAAACGCAGCGTAGGCAAACAAAGGGTGAGAGAGCAGCGCGCTCGCTTGCACACATTACGTGCGCAACTGGTGTGGGAACGAGACGGCGCAGGTAGCAGCGCAATATTGGAGTGCGAGTGCCAAATGTCGCATGAAATTACAACACTGGTGTGAAAGACGAACGGCAACAACAACAAGCAGGCAGGCAGGCAAGCTAGCTAGCTAGCAAGAAGAAGCAGGAACATAAACAAAACCAAAACAAGTACAAAACGGGCGCCGGTTACAGAGTGACAACCATCAACCCCACCCCTCCCCACACATATTGAATGCAAAAATGCTGCCAAGCATGCAGACAACAACAACAACAAACAACAACAGATGTCATGTGGAAACGGCACGGGATGTGGCCCATGTGGAATACGATGTTATCAATTACTACACCCAAACGAATGTGAATCCGAATTTGTGTCCCAATCTGGATGCACTGCACCAGCAACGCTGTTCCCGTATCAACAACAACAACAATAACAACAACAGCAGCAGCAATAGTAGTAATACAAATACATTATTGGATGTTGTTGTTAATGCGAGAGCGGCGCGCGAGGATTCCACTGCCACGCCCACACAACAACAACATCAACATACCAGCAGCAACAGCAGCTCCTCGTCGCCTACAATGCGTAACGGTTTTGGCAACCGTCTACGGAGCATCGGCAAAGGCACAAGCAATGCAAGCTCCGGTGCCAATTCCAGTTCCACACCTACGTTGGGTGTTAATATGCGTGTAACGGGACAGTGCAGTCAGGGCGGTCGCAAATATATGGAGGATCAGTTCTCGGTTGCATATCAAGAGTCACCGTTGACCCATGAATTGGAATACGCATTCTTTGGCATCTATGATGGACATGGCGGCACCGAAGCGGCCCTCTTTGCCAAGGAGCATCTCATGCTCGAGATTGTCAAGCAGAAGCTGTTTTGGTCCGATAACGATGAGGATGTGTTGCGGGCGATACGCGAAGGCTACATTGGCACACACTTTGCCATGTGGCGCGAGCAAGGTGAGTGAGCGAGTCAACTATATATACATACATACTTAACACATACAGATTTACATGCATAATGCCAACAATCGTTTATCGATTTGTGACTGCTCGCTCGCTCGCTGGCTGTGCCTCTCTGTAAGTGGAATATTCCAAATACTTTTTTTTTTTTTTTTTTTTTGTGTGTGGCAACCCCGCTGTTCGCTTCTATCATTGTCAGGCATTAGAGAGAGAGAGAGCGCAATATGCAGATAACATCACTGCTTGGGTTTACAGCCACAACAAGGTTGCATTTATCGTCAAAAGCAGTGACGACACCGCAAACAGTTTGTTATTAAACGTAATAAAAAAAAAAGTGCTAAGATTAAAAGCGCGACATAGCGATAGATAAAGTTAGTTCATTTTTGTTTTTTACATTAAAATAAAAAAAATAAAAAAATAAAATAAAATAAATACAAACTTAAATGATTTTTGTTATCATTGTTTTTGTTTTTATTGTTTTATAGACAAATGGCCACGCACTGCGAATGGACATCTGAGCACCGCCGGCACCACAGCCACCGTGGCGTTTATGCGTCGCGAAAAGATTTACATTGGCCATGTGGGTGACTCGGGCATCGTGCTGGGCTATCAGAATCCCAACGAGCGTCGCTGGCGAGCGAAACAGCTGACAACGGATCACAAGCCCGAATCGGTGGCGGAGAAGAGTCGCATTCAGCGTGCCGGCGGACAAGTGGCCATTAAATCGGGTGTGCCACGCGTCGTTTGGAATCGTCCCCGAGATCCGATGCATCGCGGCCCCATCCGTCGACGGACCATTGTCGATGATATACCGTTTTTGGCTGTGGCCCGTTCTCTGGGCGATCTCTGGAGCTATAATTCGCGCTACAAAGAGTTCGTTGTTAGTCCCGATCCGGATGTTAAAGTGGTTAAAATTGATCCCAACACGTTTAGGTGAGTTAGGGAAAACGTCTTGGAAACTATGACAACTGTTGAACCGAATTCAATTGTATATATTTTTAATCAAGCAAATCCCATAAAAACTCGACCTAAAACTTATTTTTCCATACAATTGGCAAATATTCATTAAAAAGTCACTTAAATGTTGACTAAATTTGCATTAACTAACAGTTAGGGTTTTGTTTTACAGCTCATTAAAAATGCGATTGTAGCTCGTCTTGAGATTGTCTGGTTTCTATTTACTTTATATAACAACTTGATAACTTTGTCAATTTGTTTGCAGATGCCTTATTTTTGGCACGGATGGTCTGTGGAATGTGGTGTCGCCACAGGAGGCTGTCGATTCGGTGCGGGAGAAGCATTTTATTGGCGAGTGCCTGCACGAGCAGGACGTCATGAATCCCAGCAAGGCCCTTGTCGAGAGGGCCCTCAAGACCTGGGCAAGCAAAAAGATGAGGGCGGACAATACATCCGTTGTAACTGTGATACTCACGCCAGCTGCAGCTGCAACAACTTCAACAAGTGCAACAAGTGCAACTGCAACTGCAACAACAACTGCAACTGCAACTGAAAACATAGATTTGCTGGTGGATACAGAGAACAATTATCCATCTGAATTGGATGAGCTGGTCGAGGATGAGCATGATGAACTGAATATGGAGCTGTGCGCCGCCAACATTGAGGAGCAAGAGTATCTGCATGACACACCTTACAGTGCCTTGGCCAAGCGGCATTTGCCTCCGGAGCCTTATCGCAATTTCGACTACTACATTGAGGAGCAGCAGTTGCAGCTACTCGAAGAGGCAGAGGAGCAAGAACAGGAGGAGGAGGAGGAGGAACATGAACACGATGACGATGACGACGACGAGGAGGACGAGGAGGAGGAGACGGAGGGGGGCGTGGTGGAGGTGGAGGAGGAGCAGTTAATGCAACAGCAAAACGCAAACTGGCGAAAATCACTGCAACAATCGATTGCCAACTGGCATCAAACATCAATGATGCGGGAAATAGACGCAATGCTGCAGGTGGCCCATGATGAGGAGGAGACGACTATGACGACGACGACGACGACGGTGGCGGCGTCGGCGTCGGCAGAGGCGGAGGCTGAGGCGGAGACAGAACTATATTGTGGCAACAGCAACAGCTGTGAATTGGAGCACAATTATAATAGTTGCTATGTCAGCAGCGCCTCGGTGAATGGCAGCACGGAGGAATACAGCTTTGCGGAGTCATACAATACGCTGCTAAACGAACAGCAGCAGCAGCAGCAACAACATCAGCAACAACAATCGCAACAGCAATCACAGCAGCAACAGCTGCAGCTGCAGCACCAGCAGCAGCAACATCAACAGCAGCCAGAGAAGGAGCAACAGCAGGAACAGTTGTTGAACAGCATGCAGGAGATCTTGCAGGAGCAGCAGCGTTATCAGCAACAAGAGGGCTACTCACTCACACAGCTGGAAACGCGACGCGAACAGCAGCAGCAGCACCAGCACCAACACCACCACAACCAAGTGGACAACAGCAACAGGTGGCAGCAAGAGCAGCAACAGCAACAGCAGCAGTCGACAGCCACTTATGTTGAGCAGCCGGTGGAGCTCTTGGCGCTTAATGCGCTACTGCAGCAGGAGCGCGATGAGGAGCAGCAGGTGGCATTGGAACGGGAGCAGAAGCAACAGCAGCAACAATTGTTGCTGGTTGAGGCAAGCAGCTCTAGTTGCAGTTCCAATTCCAGCGCCAGTTGCAGTCCATCCAGTTGCACTGTCGAAACTCAGTTTGCCTATGCCACTGCTAGCTGGAATGCCAGCAATGTGGCAACGCTGCAGGACAATGAAGTTAGCTCAACGCTACCGGCGACGCCGACGCCGATGTCTACTAGCAACAGCAGCAGTGCTGAAGAAGCGCAGCCAATGGAAAGCCAACAGGATCAGCAGCAGCAGCAACACCAACAACAACAACAACAAATGACGTCATCACATCCGTCGCGGATCAGGCGACAAATGCGTCGCTATCGAAATGTGCCCAATGAGAATCACCAACATATGCAAACGCGTCGCCGACAGATGTTCAAGCATAGCAGCAAAAGTAAGGCTTACAGCGCTGCAGCAGCGTTTGTTGCTGCCTACAGCAGCAGCAACAACAACAGCAGCAGCAGCGCTGAAGTTTTGCCTAGCAGCAACAGCAGCAGCAGCAGCAATAATGTCAAAAGCGACATCAGCAGCAGCAAAAATAACAGCAGTAACAGCAGTAACAACAGCAGCAGCAGCAACCGCAAACGTCGACGCAGCGTCGTCAACAGTGGCAACGGCAGCAGCAGCAGCAGCGCTGTTATGATGACGCGTCGCAGTCACAGCCTAAGTTTGGCCACTGGCAGCGGCGTCAGCAAGCGTCAACTGCGCAGCAGCATCTGTCAGCTTGGCAATTTGGATATGACAAAGCGCACGCTGCGAACGCGCAATGTGACGCCAGCGGCGAACAGCGGCAGCAGCAGCAATAACAATAACAACAACAGCAACAGCGGCAGCAATATCAACGCCAGCAAATCCGCACACACATTCAATAAACCAGCAACGCCAGCAGCGATGCCAGCAACAGGAGCAACATCAACAGGAGCAACAGCAAAAACAGCAGCAGCAGCAGCAGCAACATCAGTTGTTGTACGACGTTTGCGTCAGAGCAATGAGGAGCGCGAACAGCGACGCAGCCTGCGGCGCAGTACTTTAAGCGCCAGCGGCAGCAACGCCAACATCAGCAGCAGCAGCATCAGCAGCAGCCCATTAGGCAAGCCGACGCGACTGCAGTCGTGCAGCGGCGGCATTGCAGCGCGGCCACCGCCAGCGCCAAAGAAATTGAATGCGGTTGTGCCGACGCTGGCAATTGGTACGCGTGCTTATACAGCGGCTCTGGCTGCGGCAGCGGATTTAAGCAAGCGCTGGTCTCTGCGCAGCAGCAGTGCGAATGCAAATGCGATGGCAACACTGGTCACAGCCATCAGCTGTTATAGCAGCAGTGCGCGCAGCCGAACAGCACCGACAACGACGCGTCGGCGTTAAGAACTGTAATGGAATGGGAATGGCAAGGGAAGGGAAAGGGAAAGGAATGTGTGGAGCAGCTTGGCAGTGAAAAGTGGACTGGCGTTGCCAGCGCGTTTCAAAATTTCTAGTACAAAATGTTAAAAATAAAGCAACCTAAATAATTAATGAAAAGTGATTGAAGTGAGAGCGAGAGCGACAGCGAAGGCTTATTGAGAAGTTGGTTAACTTATGTTATATTGGTATAAGAAACCAAAATACACAAAATCAGAATTAAGTTAAGTTAAGTTACACACCACACATAACACACGTATATATATATATATATATATATATATATATATATATTATTTAAAAGCATAGCGATTAATTTAAAATATATTGTAATAAGCTAACTCTTAACCATATCGCACTCATTCTACAAAAGTGTAAGATTTGTAAATTATGCTTATATTTGTTAGATTTGCGTAAAAAGAACCATCAACACTTACAATGCAATATTTACAGTTATTACATTTTAGTAGAATGTATTCGATATTAATACAGATATAGATTTATGCACATTTTTTTATGGTCATCTTTTGTGTGCGTCTCTTTAAAGAAAGCTTTAAGCGATTAAATAATTTTTTTTTTGTTCCATTTACAAACATCATGTATTGAATTAAGTTGTCAAAAGTATTTATTTAAGTCTAAGAGATGATAGATGCTAATAACTATAAAACACTTCTATCGTTTTTTCACATTTTTCTTAATTAATTTTATATAGTTTTAGTTTATAGTTGTAGCCCTATATATTTACCTTTTCTTCATTTTCTCTTTTTTTAGTACTTTAAACTTAACTAAATAAAACATGAATATAGCATATAAAGTTTTTTTTTTTTCATAAATATTACATATTTATTGTAATTGTTACCAAGAAATGCAAATGCCTCCAAATTAATTTAGAATATTAATTTTTTATAAAATATACGCTATATTTTTACAAGAATATATAAATGAGCTGTATTTGGATCTTTAAATGGGGAGAAGTAATTTAAAAAATCCGTTACGTGCTCCTAAGCACTGCTGCCACACACACACATAGAGCTCAGCTGGAAATGCGTCAACGCAATGGCAACTCCAGATAAAAACGATTAGTGTCTGCTCAAATCATCGGTATCGATAAAAAAAAAAATGTCGCAGCGAATTTGGCGCGTAAAGATACACAAATAAATGATATATATATATATACACCAAATAAACGGTAAGTGATTTCTGTCAATTGTCGTTTCGATTGAAGTAAAAAGCAAAAACATAAACCATTTTCAAATGGCGCTTCGAGCGTCAAACTCAAATCTTAAACTCCTGACGCGCTGTCAAACTGACGTCTGTTTTTTTGTGTGTGCGTGTGTATGGGTCTGGAAGGAGAATTCTGGCCATTTGCCGACAAGAGTTAAACGCGTTCGTTTCATTCAGATGCGCGCACGCCGCCCTTCCTAGCGCATGTGGTGCATATTATAATCATTCGTAGGTATTTCGTATTTCGTATTTTTGTATTTTTTTTACGGTGTGTTTTTGTTGTGAGCATATTTGTTTGTCAAAAGCAGAAATGAGCGTTTTTGCTCTTGTTGTTGTTAGTAACTGACTGTTGACAAAAGGCAACAAAGCAAAAAGAAAAGTGTAATTTTGTGTGTGGGTGTGTGTGTGTAATTGTAAACAATAGATTGCAGCGCGTGCAGCGTGTGGTAAGTGACAAAGTCTAGCTCAAAATCTCTGCAATATGGTGCAACACACTGACGTACATAGGTGTATGTGTGTGTGTGTGTATGATATTTTTTTGAAAATGTATTTAGCCTGAGCGTGAGTGTCGATTTGAGCTCAAAAATCCAATTGGACTTTTATGTATGTGTGTGTCGCCGCCTAACTGTCTGTCAGTCTGTCTGTTTGCTTGCTGTCTTTGTATGTCTTTCTCTGCATGTGTGTGTGTGAGTTTCGGTGTATTTTCCACCCCAGCAGCGAGTTTCGAAACGCGGCCACAGCTCGGCTCCAGGCTCGCAGTTTTGTGCGCAGCTTCCCTTGAGCCGGATTCCCAGTTCTTATTGTTCCCATTGTTGTTGTTGTTGTTACTTAGTTTCAACCCCCTGGTAGCGTCTTAAAACGTGTTTCAAAATGGGTGGCTCACAGCTGTGTATGTTTTTGGGCTTTACTGTCTGTTAAATGCTCTTTGCTGTTGTTGTTATTGTTGTTGTTGCCGTGGCGCATTATTCTTGACTGCGCTTTGTGCGAGTTTTCGTCGTTAGTCGTTATGACATCAACACACGCTTGGCGCTGGGCCACACACACACACAGGCACAGACACGCACACACACAGGCACGCACAGACACAGTTATGTTGCGAGCTTTGTCCTTTGGGCAAAGCTTGCGTTTGCCTTCAGCTTCGGACGCTTGACTCGTGCTTACAGCCGACGAATGCCCGAATGCCGTTCGGCTCGCCTTGCTTTTTGCATTTGCATTTGCAGCTGTAGTTGTAGCTGTAGCTGTATTTGTATATTTGTATTTGTGTCGTTTTTGTTAAGCTCTGTGCGTGTTGAGCGCAATATTAAATATTTATAAATATTTAACACATTAATTGTTAATGGTAACCATCATCGGGCAGTTAACACTAACATTAAATGCTATTGATTTAGCACGCATCCAGAGTTGTTAACGGCTTACAGTTAAACACACATATATATATATATATATGGTCATATTGGAGAGCTTTCCCAGTACCTTCCTTTTTGGATGTGCAGAATTAAGCACGTGATTTTTAACTGTTCGATCGCCATATAACAAAAAAAAAACCTGTTGTGCGCAACTTGGTCTCAAAGGAATCTAGATGAAAATCCGAAAAATTTCTAACACACACACACATTGCCACTCAAGATTTGATCATTTCCCGGAAAAAAACACACTCGTTGGAAAAAGCTTTTATTTTTGATTTTTGGTTTTACGATGCTTTGGCCTAAAAATATCGCCAATGTAGTTGTTTTTTGAGTTGGACTCGCAGCTGTTTTTGGCTTCGAAGCAGCAGCAAACATAAAAAAACTTATCCGAGTGTTCTCTGAAAGATCTTTGACTCGAAGTATTTATTTGAAAGTAAGTCAGCATCTGGATATAGTTGGAAGTCAGACCTGAAACAGTTCAGGAGAAATTCCTGCTTACGACACATTTTGCAGTCTTTTAATCATAAAAATAATCAAATAATAATCAACCATAAAATAATATCGCTCTACAAAGGTATGTAATCTTCTATCTGGTTTTTTTTTTAAGTTTACCTTACTTTTTTTCAAAATACTTGACTAATTTTGATATGGAAGAAATACTGTTTACTTAATATATATAAAATTTATATATTTTGAATTTCTCATTGTGCAATGTGATATTAAAACCGTTATAAGCCGCTTTCGACTCGACCTAACTTGGTTAGCGAATCTAGAACCAACAATTAAATTTATTAACTTTATTATTAATTATTAAATTATTAACGCATCCTTTTTGATCTCGTCTCGTTTGCACCCAGTGGAGATTATTCCCAATTCTGGCCTAGATTGGTTGGCTTTATTAGCCAATCGACAATTGAATAAAATACTTGGCATAAACATCGATGTATTTTCTCATATCTAACTCTATATATATATATATATATCTATATATACATATTTGAAAATATATCCAGGCTTATCAATTTTCTTCTAACCATAAATGGGTTAAAGCTTTAAAGACGATCGATTTCAACTGTCAGTGACAAAAATCCATTTTTTGTTTATATATTCAGTTGCAATTGAAATGAAATTGAATTGCTTATGGATAGATAAATGTAGAAAATGCATTTGGGCCCGATCGATCGGGTTGTAAACAATAAGGTTGCATAGAATGGTTTTTCACATTCTTCCCACACATATATATATATATATATTTCTGTATTGATTTAGCAATCGAACGGAACGCAACGATTTCTTAATCGAATGTTTTGCTTGAAATATCGAAACATGCATTTCCTGCACCGAAGCTATGTCTAATCCAACCAAACTACTTGATGCTATATTTAAAACGCTGCCCAACTCTCGTCATCTTTAAGTTTAGAACATTTGGTGTATGTAAGAATATGTCTGGCTTGCTCACTCACTCACAAAGGCGGCATCTCTCTCTCTCTCTCTCTCTCTCTATCTCTCTTTCTCTCATACAGTCTTTCAGTGTTTCAGTCTTTCTATTTATCTTGGCCCTATATCAGTGTTGTGGGCAACCCAACCCCATGCCGTGTACTCAAAGCTTCTTTTCATGTTTATTTTATTTTTGGCTTGGCCATATTTATAGCGCTCATTTCAGTGCACGCTCGCTCTCTCTCTCTCGCTCTCTCTATCTCTCTCTCACTCGCCCTTTCTTGCTCTCTCTCTCTCTGTCTCTGTCTCTGTCTTTCGCCTTGGGTTGTTAGTTCATTGGGCTCGGCTCTAATGGCTCTTTCCTAGGTGCATACACACACACACACACACACACACGCACACACGCACACACACACGCACACACACACACACACATACACACACACACATTTATATCAGAGAGTTGAAGTTCAATTACCTTTATATGGATTATACAAACAGACAACGCCGCAAGATGGGCAACTGATATCAAACGGCGCATGCACCACAACAACTCACACACAAACACACGCACAACACACACACGCAGGCGCGCAGACTGGTAGACTGGGAGACGTGCGCCTGATCCCAGTTCTCAGTTCCCAGTGAGTTTTCCAGAGTTTGAACGTTTTGCCAGTGGCTGGCCCCGTTTTGTTCCCTGCCTAAGATCGAGGTGAGGGGCAGCCAGGCTGACGGCGTTGCACGACACCAACACCAACAACAACAACAAGATGCTGCCAAAAATAAATTTGAACTCAAATCGTGGCACAAGCGACGAAAAACCAATTTGAGTGCCAAGAAAAACCAACGCAATGAATTTTTCCTCTTTTAAGAGCCAGGCAGCAAAACAAAGTAAATACCAAACCGATTCAAACCGATATATGTATATAGATATATATATATATATATACACAATATAAACACATGCACATATATATATATGTGTGTGTGTGTGTGTGTGTGTGTGTGTGTGTGTACAATATGTGCTGGCAACCTGGCAGCCCCTCAGCATCCGCCCCTTGCCCCATGCTCCTGTGCCTGAGGCGCGCTCAAGTGTCCAAGGGAAATAGTAAATTGCCATCGCTTTTGCAGGCGCTCTTCCGACTTGAGTTTTCTCGAGATTCACACAGACAAAGAGAGATAGAGAGAGAGACAGAGAGAGAGAGAGAGAGAGAGGGAGAGAGAGAGAGGGAGAGAGTATAGTATTGGCGGGTGGCATTTGTTTTGATTTGGCCATCGTAGACCACGCTGTCCACATGACGCAATTACTACTGTACCACTAGCCATAGCCCAGAAGCGTACGTGACGACCTCATTAGTTGTGAGTTGCCCAAAAACACACACCGAAAAATACTTTTGTATTTGTAAATGCAAAATGTAAAATCCAGCGGAAAAAATTGAATGTTTTTCGAAATGGAAAACTCGCACGGCTGCCATTATTTTTGTCGACAATATTTTCAACGTGTGCTCAGAGACCAGAAAGCTTAAACTCTAGCTAATGTTCGATATACACACACACACACACAC